AAGCACAAGAATATTTATGCAAAGTTTCAATCCATTTGGATAAACCTTCGAAGAAAAAAGTGACAAAATTGATTTTGACTAGGGTCGCCCTAGTCAAAAATTGAAAATGTATTTCCTACTTGGTTCTTTGCTCAAAAAAATTTTAGGATGTTTTATTTGTATTTGTTTTAAGCACTAAAATATTTATGCAAAGTTTCAATCCATTTGTATAAACCCTCGAAGAAAAAGGTGACAAAATTGATTTTGACTAGGGTCGCCCCTAGTCCAAAATTGAAAATATATTTCCTACTTGGTTCTTTGCTCAAAAAAATTTTAGAATGTTTTATTTGTATTTGTTTTAAGCACAAGAATATTTATGCAAAGTTTCAATCCATTTGTATAAACCCTCGAAGAAAAAAGTGACAAAATTGATTTTGACTAGGGTCGCCCTTAGTCCAAAATTGAAAATGTATTTCCTACTTGGTTCTTTGCTCAAAAAAATTTTTGAATGTTTTATTTGTATTTGTTTTAAGCACTAGAATATTTATGCAAAGTTTCAATCCATTTGTATAAACCCTCGAAGAAAAAAGTGACAAAATTGATTTTGACTAGGTCCAAAATTGAAAATGTATTTCCTTCTTGGTTTTTTGCTCAAAAAAATTTTAGGATGTTTTATTTGTATTTGTTTTAAGCACTAGAATATTTTTAAAAAGCTTCAATCCATTTGGATAAACCTTCGAAAAAAAAAATGAAAAACTAGATTTTGACTATACCTGTCCCAAGTTCATAATTGAAAATGTATTTCCTACTTGGTTCTTTGCTCAAAAAAATTTTAGGATGTTTTATTTGTATTTGTTTTAAGCACTAGAATATTTATGCAAAGTTTCAATCCATTTGTATAAACCCTCGAAGAAAAAAGTGACAAAATTGATTTTGACTAGGGTCGCCCCTAGTCCAAAATTGAAAATGTATTTCCTTCTTGGTTTTTTGCTCAAAAAAATTTTAGGATGTTTTATTTGTATAAATTTGTATAAAAAGCTTCAATCCATTTGGATAAACCTTCGAAAAAAAAATGAAAAACTAGATTTTGACTATACCTGTCCCAAGTTCATAATTGAAAATGTATTTCCTACTTGGTTCTTTGCTCAAAAAAATTTTAGGATGTTTTATTTGTATTTGCTTTAAGCACTAAAATATTTATGCAAAGTTTCAATCAATTTGTATAAACCCTCGAAGAAAAAAGTGACAAAATTGATTTTGACTAGGGTCGCCCCTAGTCCAAAATTGAAAATGTATTTCCTACTTGGTTCTGTGCTCAAAAAAATTTTAGGATGTTTTATTTGTATTTTTTTCTAAGCACTAGAATATTTATGCAAAGTTTCAATCCATTTGAAAAACGCTCGAAGAAAAAAGTGACAAAATTGATTTTGACTAGGGTCGCCCTAGTCAAAAATTAAAAATGTATTTCCTACTTGGTTCTTTGCTCAAAAAAATTTTAAGATGTTTTATTTGTATTTGTTTTAAGCACAAGAATATTTATGCAAAGTTTCAATCCATTTGGATAAACTTTCGAAGAAAAAAGTGACAAAATTGATTTTGACTAGGGTTGCCCCTAGTCCAAAATTGAAAATGTATTTTCTACTTGGTTCTTTGCTCAAAAAAATTTTAGGATGTTTTATTTGTATTTGTTTTAAGCACTCAAATATTTATGCAAAGTTTCAATCCATTTGTATAAACCCTCGAAGAAAAAAGTGACAAAATTGATTTTGACTAGGGTCGCCCCTAGTCCAAAATTGAAAATGTATTTCCTACTTGGTTCTTTGCTCAAAAAAAATTTAGGATGTTTTATTTGTATTTGTTTTAAGCACTAGAATATTTATGCAAAGTTTCAATCCATTTGTATAAACCCTCGAAGAAAAAAGTGACAAAATTGATTTTGACTAGGGTCGCCCCTAGTCCAAAATTGAAAATGTATTTCCTTCTTGTTTCTTTGCTCAAAAAAATTTTAGGATGTTTTATTTGTATTTGTTTTAAGCACTAAAATATTTATGGAAAGTTTCAATCAATTTGTATAAACCCTCGAAGAAAAAAGTGACAAAATTGATTTTGACTAGGGTCGCCCCTAGTCCAAAATTGAAAATGTATTTCCTACTTGGTTCTTTGCTCAAAAAAATTTTAGGATATTTTATTTGTATTTGTTTTAAGCACTAGAATATTTATGCAAAGTTTCAATCCATTTGTATAAACCCTCGAAGAAAAAAGTGACAAAATTGATTTTGACTAGGGTCGCCCCTAGTCCAAAATTGAAAATGTATTTCCTTCTTGGTTTTTTGCTCAAAAAAATTTTAGGATGTTTTATTTGTATTTGTTTTAAGCACTAGAATATTTATAAAAAGCTTCAATCCATTTGGATAAACCTTCGAAAAAAAAATGAAAAACTAGATTTTGAATATACCTGTCCCAAGTTCATAATTGAAAATGTATTTCCTACTTGGTTCTTTGCTCAAAAAAATTTTAGGATGTTTTATTTGTATTTGTTTTAAGCACTAGAATATTTATAAAAAGCTTCAATCCATTTGGATAAACCTTCGAAAAAAAAAATGAAAAACTAGATTTTGACTATACCTGTCCCAAGTTCATAATTGAAAATGTATTTCCTACTTGGTTCTTTGCTCAAAAAAATTTTAGGATGTTTTATTTGTATTTGTTTTAAGCACTAAAATATTTATGGAAAGTTTCAATCAATTTGTATAAACCCTCGAAGAAAAAAGTGACAAAATTGATTTTGACTAGGGTCGCCCTAGTCAAAAATTGAAAATGTATTTCCTACTTGGTTCTTTGCTCAAAAAAATTTTAAGATGTTTTATTTGTATTTGTTTTAAGCACAAGAATATTTATGCAAAGTTTCAATCCATTTGGATAAACTTTCGAAGAAAAAAGTGACAAAATTGATTTTGACTAGGGTCGCCCCTAGTCCAAAATTGAAAATGTATTTTCTACTTGGTTCTTTGCTCAAAAAAATTTTAGGATGTTTTATTTGTATTTGTTTTAAGCACTCAAATATTTATGCAAAGTTTCAATCCATTTGTATAAACCCTCGAAGAAAAAAGTGACAAAATTGATTTTGACTAGGGTCGCCCCTAGTCCAAAATTGAAAATATATTTCCTACTTGGTTCTTTGCTCAAAAAAATTTTAGAATGTTTTATTTGTATTTGTTTTAAGCACAAGAATATTTATGCAAAGTTTCAATCCATTTGTATAAACCCTCGAAGAAAAAAGTGACAAAATTGATTTTGACTAGGGTCGCCCTTAGTCCAAAATTGAAAATGTATTTCCTACTTGGTTCTTTGCTCAAAAAAATTTTAGAATGTTTTATTTGTATTTGTTTTAAGCACTAGAATATTTATGCAAAGTTTCAATCCATTTGTATAAACCCTCGAAGAAAAAAGTGACAAAATTGATTTTGACTAGGTCCAAAATTGAAAATGTATTTCCTTCTTGTTTCTTTGCTCAAAAAAATTTTAGGATGTTTTATTTGTATTTGTTTTAAGCACTAAAATATTTATGGAAAGTTTCAATCAATTTGTATAAACCCTCGAAGAAAAAAGTGACAAAATTGATTTTGACTAGGGTCGCCCCTAGCAGGGTTTGGGGAATCTGTTAACAGAAAATAGAAAAACAGCTGTTTTTCGACAAACATCTGTTAACAGAAAACAGGTCTCAAAAACAGATCTGTTTTCTGTTTTTCATTTTTACATAAAATTTACAGAAAAAAAAATTTCTTAACTTTTTGAAGAATTTAATATATTTTTCTAGCATTTCAAATTTACTATTTTAATATTTTTTGGATGTTTAATAGGTTTGAAATCATTATCAAATTTATGGTTAATCATTATTAATTTTGCAATCGAAATTTTAAATTTGTTGAACCTTTTGTAGCATTTACTAAAGTTTAAAAATATAATCAATAATTTTACAAGATATTTTTTTATTCAGAAAGATTTTTTGAATATTTCAAATAAAATAGTAGAGCTTATGGAACTTTTACAATGCAACAATGCAATGTTACTTAAAGGTATAAATTTTTTTTGGATTTTTTTTTGCATTTTTATATTTCATTATATTTTTTAGAGTTAATTAACATAAAAAAAATAAGAAATAATAATGCTTAGCTCTAAAATGTATGCTTAACTGCTTATAACCACCAAAAAGTTTCATTATCTTAGAGAAACACTTAGGATAACTCAGTTTATTTTGAATTCTAGAAAAACAGGAAAACAGCTGTTTTTAAAAATCAAAAACCGAAAACAGACTGTTTTTCAAAAACAACTGTTTTTCATAAACCCCAGCCCCTAGTCCAAAATTGAAAATGTATTTCCTTCTTGGTTCTTTGCTCAAAAAAATTTTTTTCATCCAAAGTTTAATTTAAAAAAAATCACAGTGAACTTTTAATTTGAAAAATTCGTAAGAAAAGAAAGTTTTTTGCTTTTTCTGAAGCAACGGCTGTTCCTACCTTGCCCAAAAACAATACAGCTCTTCTATAGAGCAGCACGGATCAAATGTAAAAAACTAGAAGTCTCTACGATGTCTCGTTATTGAGATTTCTTGCTGATTAACTTGCTTGTTTGCTTGTTTGCTTGTTTGCTTGCTTACAGAAAGCATATTTTGCGATTTTCTAAAAAATGCCGCAACCAATTTGAAATCTGTTTTTTGCAAAAGATGTGAAATTCAAGGCACAAACTTTTCATCTCTGAACATTTTATTCTATCTTGCTCCATATCCTCACAAAATTCTAAAAACTGATTTTTCAATCTGAACAAAACCAATAGATTCACACGTGAAAACGGTGTGAATATAAAAAATACATCTATAGATTATTTGACTTAAAACTTACTGTTTTGCGAATTTAAAGCCTTGCACTCTCCGACTTAGACTCTCGTATGTATAAAATTTATAATTTTTGGCAATCAAATCATCAAATGTTGTTGGAGTTTTCTCATAAATATCCTTTTTCATTATATCAAACAACTTGCCTTGATATAATCCTCTGATTACCAAACAAAATAGAAGAAATTTTGCAAGTAAAAATCTAGAAAAATTTGTTCTAGGAAGTGTCGATTGTGAACCTCCAAAAAATGCAATCAACATATTAGTAAAAGGAAAATTTACTTTATGTCCAACAATAAATTTGTATGACGTTTTTGAGATTAACTTTGTTATTAATATTACTATATAGCCGGTAAGGAACATAACAAATAATAAAATCCATGTTGTAAAATCAAATGGCAAATATAATTTTACAAATGCTGAAATTTGACTTGAAGGTGGTATGACTGCTACTATTGGAATTGATGCAAACATACTAGTTGCACTTAGAACTTGTGTTCGATCAATCTGAAGTGACAAGCTTCCTATCGCCACATCACATTTCCGATCATAAAGTGATCCTAAAACACCCGTGGAGTTTTTTTCTCGAGCAACCCCTACACTTTCAAAAATATTAAACTGTGGTGTAAAGTTGAATTCCAGTGCAAGTTTTCGAATCAAAAGAACTTCAATACCATCAAAACTTTTTGTTCCATCTGTTTCATTGCTAGTTATAACCATCGGAATGCTTTCAGTAACTCCAACTTTTAAAGCGCAGTTATTAAGATTTTGTACCTTTTCAGGATAAAAATTTAAATTACTCCATTTTTGAATTGTTGTGTCAAAAACATTAATAGGATGCAGCAATAAATCAGTTCCACATTTTTCATGATCAAATGGAAAGTAAGTATAAATAAATCCATGAGTCGCGTTACTTGTTAAAAAATTCACATTATCCATAGACATCGACCATAGTTCTTTTATAACTTCATTGACTTCTTTAAATAACCCTTTTGTAAGTACAATAAGGTAGTATTTTGGATAAATTCTCTGTAATTTTATTTTAATAGCATTAAAGGAATCAATTGAGTCCAAAATTAAGACAATTGGTGAGCGCCGTTTATCAAATTCTTTAAACTTTCTTTGATGTCCACGAACAATAGTTCTAAAATCCATTCTAATTTCTTTGAGAATTTCATTTCCAATGTCAGATCCATCCAAATTCGAAGAATTTGACATAGCAATGTTAATTGTAAGGGATAAATAACTGGTTTTTGAGAAAAACAATGAAATAATGCTCAATGTTGTTTTGGTCAGCACTGAATGGTTTTCTTGAACTTTAATATCAATTATTTTTGTATCAACAAAAAGCACAATAAATGAAAATAATATGAAACATTGAACAGCTTTTGACACGAACATTCTAATTGTACCGTCTTTTGAACAATGACCAAATATTCAAGCAGGAAATTCAATACAACACCAAAGTACTTAAGAATGAATGATTAATAAGAAATGTATAATGTAAGCCTAATGTCCTTTCTATTTTACTAGAAATAAATAAACCCTTAATAAATCTTTCAAATAAAATAATTCACACCAAATTTGTCAACAGAGTGTGAATATTGATACGAATTCTCCTTAATTAGGGCTTCTAAATGTATATCTAAAAGGAGAAATCGTGGATGGCTCATAAGTATGTTTTATGAGATAGGAGAAGTTTTTGACTTTATACCCTCTCGAAATATTTCTAAAGGTTTAGTCCTCTATTAATAATTGTTGTGAATTAATGGCTAATATTTATTATTGTGATTAAAAATATTTGTTCTGCTAATAATCACAAGTGTTAAAACAATTTATTTGGTAAATATGGTAAATATCGAGAATGGTTCTTACAAAATATATTCATGGTGGTGATTTATTTTATTTTATTTTAATAATTATTCAATGAGAAAATCGTTGTTCATATGAGCAGAGCTCGAAGTCGATAGGGTTCGAATCGACTCAAAACCGAGTTGACTCAACTTTTCTCGGAGTTTTCTCGAGTTGATTCGACTTGATCTCGAGCTCTGCATATGATTCAATAAAATTTCGCTTAAACAAATGTCACTTAACTGTAGATTTCCATTTAAAGTTATACGTCATTTGTGATCAGCTTAACAATATTGAAATTGTTAAAATTGAAAAAAAAAGATTAAGGCAATAATAATAATTACCCCGTTTTTTCGTTATAAGCTACTACTCGCTACTAAGCTACTAGCTTAGTAAAGTTTTTTTGAACTTGAAAATTTTTTGTAATCTTTACTAAGCTACTACCAAAAATATAGTTTAATCAATATTTTCAACTTTTTAAGTATCAGTTTCAATGTCTTATGACATTGTCAATGAAATAAAATCGAGAAGATAGCAAAATTTCTTTAATTAAGTTAAAAAAATTCAAAATTTTCATTGAAGTTCAATTTCTTTACTAAGCTACTACTCGTTACTAAGCTACTAGTGATCCAAAAAAATCACTTTTTTATTCTTCTAAGCTACTAGCTTATAACGAAAAAACGGTATGAATTATTGTCCAAACCGAAATGCAATCATATTGACTAGCAACTTTGGTCAATTAAATATTAAAAGATTATTCTTCTTTTTCAATCAAGAATCAACATGTAAGAAATGTTCTCATCAAATAAATAAAGATTTATTTAAATAATGAAATTTAAAAATACCTACATTCGTTGTAGGTTGCATGCTTTACAATTATTTAAAATCAGTTTAAAAAAATATTAATTTATTTTAATTGTTGTAATGTTTTTAATGTTCATTCAATAAGTTTATTAAATAAAATACACTGAGAATTCAAAGAATCTTAATAATCTCATGTTTTTAAATTGTTGACATTTTGTAGATGCTTAACATCCATAAGGTTAAAGAAACAAAAATGTGATTTCGAATCTTCATTGCAAAGATATTTTAAACATAAAGTATTACGCATTTTAAATTTTTTTTTGTCAAAGAACAGGCTTTTTCATCAAAGATAGATAGATAATATAATATCAAGGACACTAGTATCTATACATTCTTTTTCAACTTAAAAAGTTTCTTTAACATTTTTTTCATTTCACGCAGTCTCATCTTTGGAGAAGAATATTGTTAATTTTTCTGATTAACTCTACTGTAAAAAAAAAAGGTGAATAAGTTGCTAATTAATTATAAAGTCACAGTAATTCAGTTGGAAACTACTTAAGTACCAAACAGGAATTTTTTTAAAGATTTTAAGTATTTAAAAATAATTAACAATAAAATATAAGAAAGTGGTTATATTGATGGAATTGCCAAGTAAACAAGAAGACTATTCGTGTCATACTGATTGATCATATAGATTAAAAATAAAACAATGAACTTTTGAGTATATAAAGTATTTGCTATAAAACACATTCAGAAATAAATGTGTAGTAAATAGTTTCGATTTTTTTTTGTTTATTGTCACATACAGAGTAGATTTAAAGACTTCTAATAAAATTTATACAATTCTATTTGTGGCGTGTTTTTACTGTTTTTGCTTTTTCAAAACCTATGTTTGATTTTAATTTGGCTGAAAAAAGCATCAACTCTGGCAACTAGTTGTCAAATTTGACAACAAAGTTAATAGAAAAACATTACATGTGACAAGTGTTTTAATAATCTATATGCCCATTTTTCACATTTCTCGCTTGACAGAACTTAGAAAGCGTTCATTAACACAAGTGTTGAGACAAGTTCATAGAATCAACTCTTTTCTTGAAAAGCATCTATTTATAATCTATGCTAACGCAAGAAATTTAACATTGATAAACAACTAATAATAAAAGAAATACGAGATTTTCATTCCGCAAAAAAACTTGATTTTAAATTTTTTTGTAAAGATTTTTTTTTCTCCTGTGGTGAATTTTTCATATTTTTTATTTTTGTTTTAGTATCCATCGGAAATTCAACAAAAGCAGCACGTTGTTGAGTGAGAAAAACGCAAAATAATAATAATAAAAAAAAATTATTGAGCAATCTCACAATGATGATCATTAAAATTGTATATGCAATTACAATTTCATTAACGTGTCTGAATTTGAATTTTGTAAAAAGTGCATCAATTTTTAACAATCAGTTAAGTGAGTTCATTTCAGTTTTTTAACATTCAAATCATATCCAAGAAATAGTGACTTATAAAATAGACAAAAATCCTTGTCAAGATAGTAAAAAGTTATTTTAAGAAATCTTGTTTGGTCATTTATTAAATTACTATTTTTTTTTTGTTTTTTAAAAAGATTATGAGGAAGTCAGAAATAACATCATCGCAGCTGAAGAGAGTATTAGAACAGGCGGAAACATTTATCTTTCGCCTAAAGAACAAGAAGCGGATAAGATTCTTTTGAGTATGAAGGATAAAGCTATTCAAAAAGGAATAATAGATTCTGCAAGTTATGCACCATCAATGCATTTTTTCCATGCCAAACCTTTGATAGAACAAGATCCAATTTTTGAAATTATTCAAAAGGTCCCAAAAGGTGGGGTTCTTCATCTCCATAATTCAGCTGGAGCATCAAGTGATTGGGTTATCAGAAATTTAACATATAGAGATGAAGTCATGATTTGTAATCATAACGATGGCTATAAAATGTTTCTGACTGTGTACGAAAGTTTAAAAAAATTTAAAATTATTACTTTTAATTTCAACTTGATTTATTTTTCAGTCCATCCAAATACTGCGCCAATGAAGCTGTGCCAATTAATAAACTACGAGCAGAGGCAACCAATAAAAATGATTTTGATAAATCACTTGAAAGTTTGATTAATTTGTATACACACCAACCTGAGACAGAATATCCTGACGGTAAGAAAAAAAAAATTAAAAATTTATGACAAAAATGAATCATAAAATTCTTTGGCTTTCCGAATGTCCAGTTAACTCAGTGTGGAAGAAATTTCAAAACATGTTTAATGTTGTTGGAGGTGTATTTGACTATTTGCCAACATATAAAGCATACCATCAACGAATTCTAGAAGAATTGTATGAAGATAATGTTATGTATTTGGAAATGAGAACAGGAATGGGTGGGGTAAGGAGAATATAGACCAACAAATTGGGTCATTCTTTGTGATGAGATAATATTTCTTCATGGAAATTTGTCACATTTTTCATTCGAAATATTAAGCATCATGAATGATTTCTTACTTCTCAAAGAATTTAACTAATAAAAAATATATTAAACAGGTGATTGACGAAAATGGAAACAAATTGAATAGTCAAGATATGGCTGAAGTAATATTAAAATTAGTCGATGCCTTTAAGAAAGATCATCCATTGTTCTTAGGTGTAAAGGTCATATTGGCAATTCCAAGAAACTCTGATCAAAAGTCATTCGAACAGAAAGTGGAAAGATTTTTGGACTTGCGTAAAAAGTATCCAAATTTTGTTGTTGGATTTGATTTAGTTGGACAAGAAGATATTGGAAGACCGCTTTCGTCATATGTTGACAAGTTAAAAGAAATATCACAGAATGGTAGATTCTTTTTCCATGCTGGAGGTTTGTATTGCCCAAAACTTATAAATTAAGCAATATCCAAAATTTTTGATTTTCTCGATTTTTCGTAAACTTTAGAAACAAATTGGTTCAACACTGACGCTGATGTAAATTTAATTGATGCAATTTTGATGAATACAAAAAGAATAGGACATGGATATTCACTTTACAAGCATCCAGTATTATGGGAAGCATTTAAAGAAAAGGACATTGCCATCGAAATTAGTCCAATTTCAAATCAAGTTCTTCATTTGGTTCAAGACTTACGAAACCACCCTGCTTCCTTTTATATCTCCGAAAATGTTCCAATTGTTGTGAGTTCTTTTAAACTTACTGTCAAATTTTTTTATGCATCTCTTTTTGCTTTTAGATTGCCAATGATGATCCAGGATTTTGGAATGCTAGGGGATTAAGTTATGACTTTTATTATGCTTTTATGGCATTTACTCCAGCAGACTCAGGACTGCAAGTACTTAAGCAATTGGCTTGGAATTCTTTGAAATATAGTGCTATGTCACAACAAGAAAGAACATATGCAGCAGTAGTTTTCAAGACTTCTTGGGACAAATTTATTAATTATGTACTTAGTTTAGAAAACAAATTATAATTGCATTAAAATGCAGCTTTAACAATTATACAATATGTTAACAACTCTTTTTTATATAACAGATTTCTTTAAGTGAATTGTTGAATGAATCATGAAATTATTAGAGTTAAAAAATCATTGGCACTTTCCGTTGTACAAAAATTTGTATTCTATAAAAAAAAATATAAATACTTTTTAAGGAAATGTTTCAATAAAATGATTTAACGGGTTGTTCACTTATTGCGCGTACAAAACAAAGAGTCCTTCTTCTTCCACCCTCTCCCCTCTACACAAATTCTCCATAAACAAAAAAAAAGGATCCCTGCTATATGCGTAATTAGTGAAAAAAACCTATAGTGCATGTTTAAAATATTTACGTGGTTCATAGTGTCCACAATCCATGGCTAGCATAAGACAACGACTTTGAAATGTTTGAGGTGCACCACCTTTAGTTGGCTCAGCACAGATCGGTTTATTTTCATTTGCACATGACACACATGGCAAAAAATTTTTGGTAGGCGGTAAAGTTTGTGAATGCGCAACCACAAATAAGATTACTGAAAATATTTTTTTTAAAAAAATCAAATAAAATTATAAATTCAGATGTATATACTTGAGATTATCAAACACAAAAGTTTCATGATTACTTGACACTTTGAATAAACAAACTGAGCTTATTAATTTATTTTTCTTTTCTTTTATACAATATTCTTTTCATTTAAATTTATTCAGAAATAGCTTTAGTAGAAAAAATGTAATTGAAATTGATGCTTCTTATCAAACATATTATTTTAATTTGAGTCAACAATAAACATTTAGTTCTTCTTGCAGTGACCTTCATACAGCAAGACATATTCTGAAACAGTTTTAAAATTACAAACCAGGATTCTTAATTTGTAGATAAACTTACGTTCTTTACTATATCCACAGTCTTGAGCTTTCATTTCGCAGAAATTTTGAAATGTTTTTGGCTTATCGCCATGTATTGACTGTCCACAAACTGGTTCATAATCTGCAGAACAAGTAAAGCAGGGAAGAAGTTGTTGTGCCAGGCCAAGTGAAAATACTAGAAAACAAAAAAGATACAATAAAATATAAAAGCTTATAAAAGATAAATACTCGAAAAATTACCTAATGCTATTAAGAATAAAATCTTCATCTTAGGCGAAAATGACTTTGTGACTTTTAATAATATAAATACCGTTTTTGACAAAAAATTGAGTAAATTTTTTTCAATATTCTACGATTGAAAAAAACACGAAGATTATGAAATTAATGACTTAAATAAAACTTCACACATATATTTTCTCATACTAATAAAACAATCATCGACATCAATTGGTGCTTTCACATTCTCCATCGTAAACAAAAACATTTTCTATAAATATAACGTCATTTGCATTAACAATAAACTAGAACCTGGCTTTAAAATAAAGCATACTTACGTGGTTCATACTTTGCACAATCTTCTGATTTCATGATACACTTATTTTGAAAAGTTTTGAGTTCACCACTTTTAACTGAGCGTCCGCAAATTGGTTTATAGTCTGTAGTGCATTTTAAGCATGGTAGTTGACTTTGTCCTTGAATTAAGCTGAAAATTGAAAAAACTAATCTTCTAATTGAAAATGTTTTTGCACTAATGTTCTTCTTTCATCAACACTTACTAAGAAATATAAAAATAATTTTTTCCATTGTCATGACACAGTCTTGTTAAATCAACATTCAATCAGAAACTAATAATTTCACAGAACAAGGGGATTTATATTTCTGAAAAAAAAAAACAAAACTTAATGAAATAGTATGAAACCGGGAAAAACCAAAGTTAAGTTATTATTTGGTATTAAAAACTCCATCTTTATCAATCTTTATTCAAAAACTCTTTGACTAGCAATTACCAATTAAAGTATGAAAATTTTGACAATTCAACAAGAATTTCTATTTTCAACTATGGATGATCATTGATTTTGAAGACTACTCGAAATATCAAAAGTACGATAAGTATTTATCTACGGAAATAATTTAGACATCAAATTTAATTCATCTAGTTTTCACAATTACTTGAAAATCACACAACATTCCTTGTCTTAAATTTTTGGATACTTTTTTTGGAAGAGTAATAAAAATATTACGTGAGATTAAATTTCATATTAACCACTTGTGGATTAATACTTTATAATAATATAATTTTAGAGAAATATGTAAGGTATATTTTGGAATATAAAAATGACTAAAATATTTTTTAATATCATATAAATCTTATCATAACTGTCTCATTCTTAATCAATACAATTCATATCATATTCATTTCAAAACATTTTTTACATTTAAAATTCACATATCTATCTCATACAGTTTTTGGAATAAAAATATCATATTTGTTAATATTAAGCGATAAAAAAATTGAAAGTCTTCAATTTAAAAGCATTGTCTTTGAAGAATATTTAGAATAAATATAAGTTTTATAAAATATGTGCTGAAGTTCAAGTTCAACAGCATGGCTGATTTGGTGGTGGGTTGTCACAATAGCAGACTTCCTCACAATCAATATTTTCGTCACGATTTGGCACACAACATGGCTGCAAATTGTCTGGATTTATCTCATAATCGCAACATGGCACGGTTGAACAGTTTCCGTTTGGTAAATGCATTTGTTTTATTGGTGGAATAGGAGGAAGCGGTAAACTTTCAGATGTAGAATCAGAGTTGGTAAAACTCTCATTGTCTTCATAATTTTGAAGCATGAAATTCTTTGGTGGAAGAGCTGGTGCAAGATTTGATTCAATTGAGTCAGTCGAATTTACTTGTCGAAGCTTTTGCCGTACAAAATCTTCGGGGTTGGAGCTTGTTTTTTGATGTCCACGTAAAGGTAAGTGATATCCACTTATCATAGGAAGTGAATTAGTACTTGCAGAGTACGGATTCTGAACTTCTTGAGAATTAGTAGAAATTCCAGAATCTCGTTGTACCATATCTGATTCAACATCAAAATCAATTTCTGAAGAGTCTTCGTAAACATCGACAATTTCGTAAGGAAGTTTTTGAGATCTTCGAACATTAGGACCCTCACCTGGAGAATCGAAATACTGAGGGTTAGACATTCTTTTGTCGGGAGTATAACGAGGTGGCAAAGGTGGTGCATTATTTTGCTTGAAAATTAATTTTGGTGGAACTTCTGGACTATTAACATATTCGAAGCTACTTTTTGATGGACGTGGAGGTGGTTGTGATCCAATTTCAGGCAATTCCAATGATTTTCTGTTAACACTTCCATAACCATTATAATTACTGCTTTTAATTTGAGAATAAGTATCATCATGATCATAATCATTTCGAGGAATTGAAGTTGGCAAAGGTGGGAGAGGTGTATTAATAATACTTTCTGACTTTTGACGTCGTACCTTCCCCCAACAATTCAAATTGTCACGGAAATGATTAAAACGCTCAACAAGAAGCTTATGAAGAGGTTGAACCTCTGTCGGTGCCAATTTTCCATGTAATTCAAGTGCACTATCAAGTATTTGAATTATATTCACAATTAAAGTCCTTAATTTTTGAACAATTGGATCTTTTCCCTCAGCTGAAGTTAAATATGCTTCCGAAAGAAATGCTTCTTGATATTTCGGAATACCACCTTGGACATTTGCATCAATTGTACCTTTCAATCTCATAGTAAATGGATTAAGATTTCTTTTATTATCCAATTTATATTGATTAATCAGATCTTCAAGTTCTTTGAGAGTATTTGAAAGAGTTTCACATGCGACTTCAACAGGAGGCAATTCACGCAGAGTTTGCTTTCTGATTTCAAACCATCGCAAAATATTTGGTAATTGTTCTGCAATATCTATTGTTGTACGTTCTATCCATAATGATTTAAATTCATTGTTCTTATCAAATTGTCCTTTGTGAATCTGCAAAATATAATTGGCACATTTAAAAACAGTTGGAACTAAATGCAAAATTTTATTCTTACTGGGCGATCATGTTGAAATCGTATGACATCATTTACTTCATAAAATCTAGAAATCTTTTCTGGTACGACATTTGTTGCATTTTTAAGATGATTTCGATCACTAATTGGTCGAACTGTACTAATTTGAAATAGCTGTTCATTCGAATTCATTATTGAAATATCTGGCGGAGAATTTTTGGTATATAATTGTGCTGAAGAAAACTCCGTTTGTAAACGTTGTGTAAATGCACCTATTCTTTCATACTCCAATCCTCTATACACAAATTGCTTATTCTACAAAAAAGAAGTTTAAATATTATTTTTCAAATATAGGTGTATAAATTTTATAATATTTATTACCCTAACGAATAATGGAAATCCTTTTCCAATGAAAAATACTCTAAAGTATTCAGGTTCCGGTCTTATTTGTGTTAAAATGTTTTGAAAAATTTTCGATTCAGTTGTGAGTATTTCACTTAACTTATTATAATCATATAGCTTCGTTTCATAAAATTGTGCTAGTTCTTTACATAAAGGAACTCCTCCTTCCCAATATTTTCCTTTATCGAAATAACTAATAATCTGTTGATACAACTTTTCTTTTCTCTTCCATTCTGGCTGACCTGTACTATCATGTTTTTCATGAGGTAAGAAGGTTAGAGTATCATTTTCCCAGCTTAACATGTCTGCGTATAATTTTAATGTGAAGCCTGCTTCAATATAATTGCTGCTTGAAACATGTAACTCATGTAGTTTATAGATATACCTGATTAATAATTTAAAGCAGTAATAAATTAAATATTGATATGATACTAATATGCTTAATTTGATTTACCTCAAATACATTTCTTTTCGATTCAATGTTTTATAAAAGTTGAGCAAATTTACAGTGCAAGTCATACGTTTGTCTCGATTTTCATCACCTATTATTAGATAGGAAAAGTCATAAAAAAAACTTTACATATTTTATTATAATAGATTTACCCTGCATTACGCTGCGATAATCTAAAAGACGCTCCAATAATTGTGTAACTGAGTTGATAAATGCAATTCCGGTTTCTCTCCAAGGAGGATTTTCAGCTTCAACATGTTCATTCAACCTGTTTTGAAAGGTAATAATAAAGAAAAGCTCTTTACTAAGTGCACTTAGGATTTTTCATTTTATAATACAATAAAATGAATTAACAATTAAAAATGTTTGTAAAAAAAGTTTTTTTTAAAAAAATTCAACAAAGCAAGGTGAAGCAAAAATTAGACGAATCTACTTCAAAAATATTTTTTGTGAACTAGAAAAAGTGCAGGAAGTTTCAAAATCTACAAAAACACTCGAGAATGTTGAGGGAATTTTAACTTACGCAATACTGAGATCCTCCCTAATAATTATGTTTTAATTTACGAGATGATGAGAAATGAATATTGAGATATAGAGTTAAAATTGTGTGAATTTTCATTGATTTTTATCTTTTTCATTACATTTATGCATTGTAAGCGTAGATTTTAATAATATGAAATTTTTACTTACATTGTACTAAAGAGTTCTCGATACTCGTCATCTCCTTTATTTTCGCTAATCAGCAAATCTAATTTGTCTATGAGCTCACTTTCTACAAGTCGAAAGCTTCCTCTAGCACTTTGTTCACATTGCATCATATCATAAAAGACTGAGAGTGTCGCTTTTCTTAACGCTGGTTCAGGAACCAAAGTGACTTCCAAGAATGGACCCACCATCGACGGAATAAAATGAAGTTTATGGTTACCTAGTTGACTCCACATAGAAAGAATTTGAAGTCCCATACTAACTCGCATGTCACCATAAGTGTTTAATATCTTGCGTCGTTTTACTTCGTGATATTGTTCTAGCTGAAGACTTGGTTGTGTTAAAAATGTAACAGCAAGACTAAAATAGGAACACCATAGCTGCGAATCAAATGAATTAGATCCTAAAAAGCGATAAACCAATGGTTTTGCAAATTCTTCTAAAGCTTTCTTAATAATGTTATTAGCAGACATCTTCATAACCAGCCAGTCACTAGGAAAAATATCTTGAGATAAAAGTTCCTTGAATACGAGCAAAGAACGATGAAGAAAGTCCTTCGTTTCTCCATTAATACTCAAATCGTCAAAAACCATTTTATAATGATCTTCATCCATTAATTCTAGCAATCCCAGTAAAACAGTAATCAAAGAGCTCAAAACGTTTAGTGAAGTTGTTAAAATTAGCATGACTGTTTCAGTTAAAACACCAAGAATATTTCTGCACAGTTCAAATAACTCAATATCGATATTTTCTTGTTTTTGATTTTTCAAATTATTCAAATGAATCAAAATTTCTCCAAGCATTTCCGAGCATAACTTGAGTTCATCACGTTTACTCAAATGATATGACAGATGTTCACAAGCAATGGTAAGAATAATTGATCGTGTATCATCACTGTGAAACAATTTTCCACTTACAAGATCTTTCAATGCCCTTAGCTTTGCTTTCACTAAATTTGGATTGCTATCTCTTGGTATAGCATCAATAAGATTTTTTATAAGCATCCCAATTTCATTTGGCGACAAAGTATTCTCCATAAGCTCCATAACAACTCCAAATGCATCAAGCATGGCTTCTTGTGTGGGCAATGTTGTTTCAGAACTTGGTACGCTTAACATATTATCGAGTGATACAAAAACCATTTGTAAATCACGACGAAATGATTCTTCAAATTGTCCTCCAGTTGCTTCTGCAAAAAGCTTTCTAGACTGAATAATAAGCTTAAAAACATATTCTATCGATTCAAAACATTTTTTTATGGGCTCTGGTCGATCAGATGTAGTTAACCACTCAGCACAATGTTGAACGGATGACAAAAGTCCTTTGTAGACAAGTGCAGCAGCAAAATGATTTTCTATATATGCGTCCATTACTGGTTTAAAATGTTGAAACTTGTTACTTTTTAACAAGCTGAAGATGCTGACCAAGACATGAAATACAAGACCAGAATGCTCAGTACTGTTTCCATCTTCTGTAGAGAATAATTCAAAAAGAGCATCAAGAACATCTTGGAGAAACTTTACAAGTTCTTCATCCTTTAATCTCAAAACACGAGCTAATGAGTCCTTAATTTTTTCTGGATGATTACGCCATTGAAGAAGAGCCAACAAATCTCCATTTTGTGTTAGTTTCGTAGAGCACAAAAGTGTTTTTATGAAAACTGTTTCTTTGCTACTTCTTGGAAACATTGGAATAACATCAGGTGAAGCTTGCTCATCGGAAACTGAACATGGTAGCTTCAAATAGTGGCCCCCTTGTAATTTAGAATGATCCTCGCACTTGTATACAAATAGTTCATGTCCACCATCAGCAATTGTTGCACCATCATGTTCCATTAAACGAGCAAAACTAAATCCAAACATTTTCGGTTCCGATTTATCTCTAGTTGAGCAATGTCTAAATTCAAAACGAACATGTGAATTAGCGAATTTGTCAATAGGTACCATTAATCGAAGTGTTTCATTCCATGAAGGAGAGTTGTTGTGATAAATAATCATTGAACGGTAATACATTGTATTTTCACATCCTGCACCACCACTTAAACAGTCACTTAATATTCCACCAGCCGAATCACAGACTAAAACACTGACTTCAATGTTTTTAGCTGTAGATTTTCCACCTCGTTCAAATTCACCGTGATCTAATGTCAAAAATAAATCGTTTCGAACATCACCAGGCAGAACTACATCAGGAAATCCCATTTTTCTTGTGTTAGATCCTTGAAATAACAAAGGTTGGTCTATCTGAGCTTGACCAAGACCTCCATAAATTAATTTCATTGAAACAGAGATTCCATAATTTGAAGCAGTTGCAGTTATTGGCGAAAATTTTCCAGTTGCTTTTTTAATAATTAATTCATGTAGCTGATAATAATCTTTTTCATCACAAGTATATAATTTAAAAGTCGATTCTCGTTCTTCAGGTTCAAGGGAACAATCAAACTGCCGTAAATCAGTTATTGGTAAAACACCAATACCGTATGGACGTCGATAATATTGATACATAGCGCTTTTATCAACACTTTTTCGCATTGATGTATCAGAGAATTGAATTTTACCAACTCGCATAACATTGGCTACAATATATAAATCCGAATTGAGCTCCGCTTCACCTAAATTATAGTTGATACGAAAAAAATAGAAAGTAAAAAAATAAGAAGTATTGGCTAAAATAATTTAAGTTGACAACATACCAAGATCTGTGAAGACTGTACAATTACTATGTGGCATATCAACGTCATAAGTTGAAAATCCATCTTTGGTTATTCTGACCAGAAACCGTTCAGTTATTTGTCTTTGACGTGACGGATGGGCATCATATATATAAAAGTATATTTCTGCATCCTCACAAACTCGATAACTAAAGTCTCGCATACATAAGTATAAATGATGAGTGAGAATCTTTTTAGGTGCCTTTTTTCGTAAAGTTCCTCGACTCTGTTAAAATAATGTCGAAATTTAATTCAGAAAATTGTTAAATATATATTATCGTCAACTTACAGAAGTATTTTTTGTGTTTTCATCACTTGACGAGTGAAAATTATGGAGTGCAACAATTCCAACTTCTGGAGGGTTAACAGCCAAAGGTCCGACTCGGGGCACCAAATCAAGACAGAGTTTTCTACAATATAAGAAAAAAAAAACTCATTAACATTTTAAGACTGATATGAAACACATAAATCATTCAGGAGTGATGCTGTTTGTCAGTTTTCCCTTAAAAAGCACAATCCATTAGCGTTATGATTAAATTAAAAAAATCAATTCCAGAAGCGAATTCCATATCCAATTAAAATTCAATTAAATCTCAACAGATTCTCACAATTTTTTCTTATTTTCTTTTTATGTGTGCTAAAAGCACTTATGTGAAATACTCATAACGTTTAGTGAGTTGCTGCACAAAGAAGAACAAAATAAATTCTTTCTTCAAGTTTCTTTATTTTTTCACATCATCATCTTCATCATTGTGTCTTTTTGCATACCATTTCTACACACAGTAAGCACATTCAGCATTTATTTTTCTATGTACATTGAACATGGCATAAAATAAAGCGATTTTTTAGTTTGAGACATAAAAACGTTTTCTTCAATTTTTAAGTATTATGCTTATTCACGTGTATTAGTAAATGTTCCGTAAGTATAAAACGTGAGAAAGAGAGAATTATTTTAATAAGAAATGTTTGTTGTTGTACTGTCTGGACCTTAAACTTTTGTTTGATCCAAGAGACGACGCACGATTGGGAGAGATGTGGAAATAAAATGAACAGTAGCAAAAAGTAGTAGCAGATTGGGCATTAAGAAATTTATTTCCAGCTTATATCCCCATTCTTGGAATTTTTGTTTAACTCTCCATACATTTTTGTTTTTTTTTTCTTCATCTTTTACATTTAGTGATCAAGCATCAATAGATTGTGTTTATATGATTATTTACTTTAAATAATTTACTCATTGCATAGCCGAACGCAAATTTTTCTTACATTCTGTGCAGTTTAACTTTTTTATTATAAAAAATCAGTAAATATAACGGTAATGATCATTTAATAAATTCAATAAAGCCATCGATAAACAAAACAATTAAGAAGGGCTTAATGTTTATAAACCGGATTTATTAAGAAAAGCAAACCATATAAACCATAATGAAATGATTCACAAACGTGCTTCTTTTTTGTTATGCAAAATTTCGTCGCTTGACATAAAATATCATTTTAATGGACAATGAACTTAACATAAAAAAATTTTGTGTTTCATTCTACCTTATTATCATTCAATGATGGTAATTTTAGATCACTTTTCTGGCAAAAGAACTTGTGGATGAATAAGAAGCTTTTTTGAAAGAAAACATTCCTTCTGTAAAATTCATTTTGGTAGTTGCTTTTACTAACACTTTTTACTGGAATGAAATTGACATTAATCAAACAACAGCAGCAGACTTTTTTGTTGCTAAAATCAGCAAAATTATATTTTTTTGCTTCTTTTTTCGCAACATCAACAAATTATTTTGTGATGATTCATTGCTCGTTTGCCATATTAACAGTTTTGAATTTCATAAATTATTCATTCCTGATTCGATTTTCTTTTCTCCTTTATAATAATTGATTATTTTTTTATATGAGAAGCTTCTCAAGTTCATGTATTGCTAGAATCCATAAAAAGCGAATGTATATGGTCCAATCAGCAATTTCAAAGGAGAAAAAAAAATTATGTTAAAGCAACAGCAGACTGCAGAAAAATAACCACGAGGTGGATGAATAAAATAAGTAAATACCAGATGCCGAAGAACTGATAATTTTTCCTTCTCTCTGTTTCTAACTCTCTTCTTTTTTTTCTTCAAATAAATTATTTTCGCCTGTTGTTCACCCATGAAAATCTCTTTTATATTGCTTCCAACTTCTTCATTATTTCCAGTTTTCTTCTTTTGATTCATCAACATTCTTCTCTGTCTCTCTGTCTCTCGCTCTCTCTCTCATTTTGTTCTTTTTTCATACATATCGATACACATATTAAATACATACACTTGAAGGATGCAGTGGACAATAGCAAAACGAAGAGAAAGAAAATAATAAGAATCAATTTGCAAAATTTACCAATTCGCAAAAAGTCTTATAATCATCGCAAAACCAGTTCATCATAAACCGCCAGAACAGACAATGAGAATGAATCTAAATTTTATTGACTTCAACAGCTAATTTTTTTGTTAAAGCTTACAAGACGTGTGAAGAAATTATTTTTATTAACTTGTGTTGCCGCAATGAAGGCATACCAATTAATAACTTTTTGATTCTTGTATCTTATTATAGCACTCCTGAATACTCCAATCAGCTTAATAAATCCGTTTAATAAATTAAGACATTTAAGTTGATGTGATGGCGTAGTAAAATGAGAAGTAGAAGAATTAACAAAAAGGAAAGATAAAAAAAAAAACTTGTTGAATTTATTGTTAGACGTTTATGGAATATTTTTAACGTTTGTTCTTAGTACTTAACAAAATTTTGATTCCTTATCATTGCATAAGCATTCATTTTCAAAATGGCTTTTTTGTCAAAAGTTAACTGAAATAAAGCAACAAAAGTTTAGATGCCATCATAAATTTCCTACAGCAATAAAATCAACTATCACTGTATGAATCATCACCATGCATATAATTTTGGAATCTTTTTCGCTAATCTTTCGTTGATTTCCATCTTTTTTTTTCGTTGGTATGCATACAACAAAGTAAAAGATTGGAATGCAGGCAGGCAGCAACAAGTTATAACGAACACAATCATTTCTTGAGCGTAACACTCATTCTCTTACTTACTATGCTTCATCATCTTCATAAAATGTGCCATCATGACTCATTATAATCCATTAACATTGCTAAAGATGAGTTTTTTCATGTTAAAACATGTAGAGTTGGTTTCTTGCTCGACATTTTTCTTATAAAACTTGATCTTCTTTTTACTCCTTCTCCTTTAGTTTCTTAGTATTGTCCAAAATCTTTTCCCAAAAATTTTAATTCTTTTTTTTCTGACTATACAGACTATTCTTTTTATCATCCTATGCACAATTCTTATCGGACTTGTTAAATTTCATCAATAAGCAATTCTAGATCGAAAGATTAACATGTTTGTGCTGTATGAAATAAAATAAAACTGACAACAATGCATCAGCAATAAAGTTAAAAAGTGGCTACTTTTATTTGTTCATAAACTGTCCAAACCAATTTTCTCTTAAAGGCAAGTTTCATGATGAGCAATGGTAAATAATAATGAAAAAGCGGGCAGGAAAAGAAAAGGCAAATAAAGAATGATACAAATTTTGCTACTGATGCTCAGAGCATGATGATCATTACCAGCCCACAAACGAAATAACAGTAGTAGTAATATTTAAAGGCATGAATAAGATTTTTCTCTTTCATTCATAAAAATAAAAATAAAATGCAATGACCTATATTGTTAACTCTGAGCTTTTGAGAAGTGAAGTGAAAATTATTGAATTTCTTCTTTTAAGTTTAAGATGAAAACACATGCAGTTGAGTGAAATAATCACATGCTGATACGTTCAATTCATGTTCGACAGACTTATCGAAAGTCTAGGGGTGTTATAATATGCACGTTCGAAAAATTTAAATTTCAAAAACCGTTACAATTTTTGGTCATTTTATTAAAGTTTTTGACAGTTTTGAAAACAGATTTAGCTTTATTATGCTTATTATCAAATGATAACATAATATTTTCATCTTAATTTCATGAAAAAATTGCTTAATTTATGTTTTTACTTTTTCCTAATTTTCGAAAATTTCGAACTGCAGGGTATGAAACTTCGAATTTTGCATAGCAGACAGACAAATAATACATTTTTGAAAGTGTTCTTGGAAACTGTAACGGTCTAAACTCTTGAATTGTTCGTATCAGATCACATGTTTTTAATCTTTATAGAATTAACACTGAACAAATCATTTGTGGCTTTTATGTAGATCAAACTGACTCGCGAGGAGTTTTAGGGTTCATGTTTTTCAAACATCACTAGTTTTAGTGATAACAAACCATTTTTTTATTAATTCAGATTATTGACCATTTTCTATAGTTTGTTAACTTTTAATTATATGAATTCCTGTAAAGACACTAGTGTAGTCTTACTGTTACAAATTAAAAATGAAACTGAGATTTACGACACTAAAGTTTGTCGTATGATCATGAAAATGTTATACTGACAAAACTATTAAAGTTCCAATTGCGTGATTTGTCATGAGCAAAAGCAGAATTTAAAAAATTTAGCAGATAATGTCTCTCTGACATAAATGTTCTCAACTTTTCAATTTATAATCAAATTATTCCAATTTAAAGTAATAATTTTTAATACAAAATCAGCGAACACTTATATTATGTTCTGAAACATTTTTTTCCTTAAGTTAACCATAAAATCGAATATAAAATGGGAACTGAAAACCGCATAGAAGATATCTTGTAACCGCAACAGTTTCGCATTACCAAAACATTTTGCAAGAGAAACAACACTCACGACGTATTGAAATTTATCGAAATATCCATGTAAACTTTTTGTTATGTTCTTCACGACATTTTTTATTATTATTATTATTATAATTGCGTTAACCACTTTTGGCTTTTTGTGCATAAATTCTACAACTTGTTTTGTACTTGAGCAAGGAAAAAAAAAATCTTTTTTTTTCTTTTTCCAATGTTGACCTCACACTTGGTTTGTGTGAAATTTGAGCTTGCGAGATTTTTATGTGCATAACATTATTTCATTCCTCTTTCCTCAATTGGGAACATAATTCTTTGAAATGTACATAAATTAAAGCACATAAAAAATGCACATTTTCTTAATAAGCAGAGAATTCACAAAATTTTAAACAAAACCAGACAGAACACTACGAAATATAAAAGAAGGAGCGAATAAAAAGAAGTTTAAGTTCCTTAATTAAGCATGATGTACAAACCAGTAGTTGAGTCTCTACTTTTACATTAAGAAGAAACATTATTATAGGCTTGAATCACATGAGGATTATTCAGACGATGAGAATATCATCGCTCAGCACATGCAATGTTATATACAAAATTTCAGCCAACTTGACCCGCATTAACCTTTGCCTTTGAAATTGAGTGAATAAGAAAGAATTTAAAGATAAAAGAAATGAGCGAAAAGGATCTTTCTTGTTTCAAAACAGCACGAAATATCAATGAATGAAGAACATTTGTTGCTAAGCAACAAAGATGATACACTTAAAAAATCAAATAGATTGGTATAAACAATTAGCAATCGATGCTAGTCTTTCATGAATTTATTCACAATTTAAAATCGTCTGGTTACCGCATTTTTAGCTTACTCATAATTATTTCCCACGATCGGCTTTAAAATTTGATAAAATTTATGGAATCTGGTAGTTCAAGTAATAATATACGAAAGCAGTAATAAAACATCATTACATTCCAAACTATATTTAACATTTCAAAGTCTAATTAAATTTTGAAGAAGAAAATTCAATTTCTTGATCGCACTTTTCGTTTTGCTGTTTTCTTTCTTGTAGAGCGTTAATGATTGCTGCTTGATGAGGAGTAACAATATTTATGCTTTATGAAATACTACACGATATATAAATCATTCTGATTGTTGGCAATTGATCAAACTAAATTCAAGAAATGTTCTAATGGTTATTAATTTTTCTAAAGTGTCGTTTATAAATGGCACGAATTAAGGCAGAAAGCTTTGTCACACCCCTTTGGCAAAGGACATAAGAGTGAATTTCGGTATCAAAAGTACTTCAAAGGTTCTGAACCTTTACACCAGTAAAAATCTTTGGATATTTTTCAAGCACAAACTTTTAATTTTGATTTTAAAATTTTTTGCAGTACAAAACACTGAAGATTTTGAATAAATTCAGCTTATTAAAAAATAAATAATTTGTAATCGAGCATCGTTAACTTTATAGCTACTTCTTTTTTCCATCCATCTTAATATTCTCTTTTATTCATTTTTTTTTGAACCTGTCTTAACTTGATTCCAATTGATGGTCATAAATGGACAAGACAAGGAGTTCTTTTAACAAAAAAAATGTGCTCGATTTAACAAGTGTGACATGTTGAAAAGGGGAGAATTAAAAATTTTGGCACTTTAAAATTGATTGCACAAAATTAAGAAAACAAGTTAATTGAACGTTATGACTGAATTCTTAAAAATTCCCACCTATCAAATAAAAATAATAAATCTTTACTAATAAATTTTAATTAACATCCAAATGTGAATAGAAAAATTAACATAGTAATAATATTGTGTTAAAGTCCCACATAAGAATAGATATTTGTATATACAAGCTACGTGATCAAAGGTGTCCCATAGATATCAGAAAGCTCATTTCACAGAAACCTCAAAAGATACCCACTGACTTTTTAATTTTTTTTTGCTTATTCTTTTGTTTTACATCGCCATCATCATGTGCTTTTTGTTCCTTCGAAGAGTTGAAGTTAAGTAAAAGAGATAGATGTGTTGTATTGAAGGCATATACAATAAATATTTATATGAAATGAAAAACCACGATGACTGTAAACGGGCATTGACTTGTATTGCCTTTTTTATTTTTCTCATATTCTTTGCTCATTTGGGATCTTAGAAACCGTGCCTTCTTGCTCGCATTCGGTTTTCCTCTTTTATGCTGCTCGCTTTTTGTTTTGTGAAAATAAATAAATCTTTAAATTTTTTTATGAAGAAATTTTCTTCTTATTTTCTCTGTTACAACATTGAAGAAACTTAGCATAACAATGCTTTGCCTTTATGATTCCATGCATTGAAATATGAAATAAATTTTGTTCTCTTGCATTTCATATTGTGAATTTGCCGCGACGACTTTTTATGTGCAAATCGTTACATAAAATTTAATTATTTTTTATAGCTCCGTTTTTACTCTTTGAATAATTCTACAGAATGAATGTTTGCATGCCTTTATTTATGCATATAGAAAAATCAAAAATATGACGATCCAGCAAAAAATAAATATTAATAAATCAAAATAGTCGGTGTTATAAATTAACTTTTAGCTTCCAGCATGAGACACTTAACTGAACTTAATTGATGATAAAATAGAGGAAGAAAGAGAATAAAATCAAAAGCAAGTAGCTCATCTGTATCATACGCAAACAATAATAATATTTTATTTAACAATACAAGGAGAAAATGAGAATGATACCTGTATGAGAGAGCGGTAGCAACTGAACATATTTTCAAGAATGAAGGAAAAAAGTGAGGGCCAGAATATATACAATACAAAAAGATATTACTGCTTATTTTTAAATATACAGTAGTTCGAATAGTTAAGGAACGACATCATTATCTCAACGAATACATCACTAAAGCATAAGGCAAGAAAAAAAAGCAAAGTGAATATAAAATGAAAAAGTAAAGTAATAATAACCACAATATGAAGAAGGAAAAATCAAGAGGCTGGTTTTTCTACGAAATCGATCGCAAGTCATTTCTTATTTGTTCTCTCTGTCTCTTCGACATTTCTAAAGGCATTTAACTTTGAACATTATTAAGAGATTTTTCATTTTACTTTATTTCTTTCTTTTATCCACAAATACCTATTATGTACATATGGGAACGTTTTTATATATGTGTTGATATTCAAATGCAATCGATATTATAACTATACACATATTTTATTAAAAGTAACAACGATCGTGCATGAAGGGGTTAAGTAGCGGCGCAAGAGAGTAGAAAACAGGTTTGACAACCCAGAAGTCGCTTCGTTTTTTTCTCTGTTCGTTCTTTCTCATCCTTCTCAACAATTACTTGCTCACACAAGAACCAACAGTCAAGAATTTCTTTCAATTTCATTTGAATCTCAATTGTTGAACATCTTCCTCCTCTTGTATAGAATTGCATCTAATCTCTCTTTCTCTCCCTCTATCACCTTACACACATACAGTTTTAATTTAAGCACATTACATCTTTCTTCTTTTCACTCTCCCATTTTACTTCCAATATTATTCCAGTTTAATGTTGATTCCATAACAACTAACACAAACATATCGTAAAGTATAGAATTGAGTAAACAGATACAACTTATAATTTTTTTAACTGCTCGCGTTTAGTTTCCATCGTGTCTCTTTAGAGCGTAAACGTTAAAATACTAGCAGCAATGCATCGAGTGTGAAATACATAGAGCTTATAACTACTTTCCTTTGTCTTTTAAAATTATTTAATTTCACTTTAATATTATTATCGTTTCTTCTAACAAACGAGAGAGAAAAATAAACATTTTTATACATATCCGAGTGATTAAAAAAATTATTAACAAAAAAAAAAGAAGTAAAATTTTAAGGTGAGGAAAACGTGCATTTTAAATGTTATTCGTTTGATAAATCAAAAAATTATAGAACAGTGTTAACTATATGAATTCTGCAAAAAATGAAGAAGCATCTTTAACATACAAAGAAGAAAATGAAAAGAAAAAAAAGAAATGTTTGAGTAGTGAAGCAATGAAAGGCTTGAAAACGAAGAGATTTAAAACACTAAAGAAATAAGAGAGAAACCAAATTTTTTAAACAAGTAAAATGTGTTTATTAAATGTGAAGCAAAAAACCTTAAAGTGTGCTTATCGCAGCATCTACTTATGAAACTAAGAAGAAAAATTGTTTGACATAAATAAAAAGAAAAAAATAATTTAAATCAAGCCAAATGTGGTCGATTCTTTGCTCTCCACATTTAAGCAAGTTGAAAGATGTGTGACGAGAAATGAAATTAAAATTATTTAAAACTTTTATGAATGAATCTTTGTAAAACATTAATAATCAAATAAGAACTTTTAACACATTATATAAATATGATAAAATGGCGAAAAGATCACAACTATTTTTTATTTTGTAAATTATTTTTTAAGTTAAATTTACAAGCAAAGAAAGGCGAAAGAACCTTTTTTTTGGAAAATATTTATTTATTTATTATTTCTCACAACCATACCTGAACATTTGTCTTTCATGCGTATTTTGTTTTGTCTGGGAATTGAGAAGAATGATTCATACATTATTAATGCTCGTTTGTTGTCCGATTCATCACATTTATGTAGAATAACCAGAATATTATTTAACTTTTGTTTGGGAATTTCACAATTATTTGTTATAAATTGATTGACCATATTTGTATGAATCAGTGGAAAAGAATTTCATCAATTTAATTTTTCATTCCATTATGTTTTATGTTAGAAAATAAATAAGTGCGTCATTGCAATAGCTATTTCTGTTATGTTTTAACGAACATTCATGATGGTTCCTTTTTAAAAATTTATTTCTGAGGGGTTGGATTCATTCAATACATATTTTGTTAATAACAAAGCAGTAAATGAAAGAAAAAGTGAATATTTTTGAGCATACATTCCATTCAAATCACCAAAAGTTTTTTCTTCTTTTTTTTGAATTAAAAATAAATAGAATGGAAATTTTGTACGAAAAAATTGGCGCCATGAAATAAAACATGATCGACAATGACTTCCTCTTTTCTACAAATATTAACAATTTCGAGCACACGACGCTTATCAGTTTTTCAACTCTTTATAGAGCACATTTCACAATCAATTTATGTTAATTTTATAATGTGAATAAAAAAAATAAATAATTGCGAAAATAAATAAAGCTGCGGGTCGCAAATACATGTTCAGCTGTCAATTTACTTTAAGCATATACCAATTTTTTTTAAATTTTTTTTAAAAAAAAAACAACACTCATTAAACAGCGTTTTATGTACGAAACTTATTTCTCTAGCTTTATGGTAATTATCGTAATTATCATATTCGCTAGTGCAATGATCATTTGCAAGCTCTGATGCTTAAAATTATGATAAAATTCTCTTTGAGCCTAAGAGCACAAGTCTCTACGTGCAGAAATCAATCAGTCGTCATTTACTTCAAGTGGGTCTCTATTATAACTGTTAATTTTGCTGAGAAGATTTACATATGTGTATATTTCTTTATCTCTAGTATTATGAACATGTTTAAAGAAAAAAGTGGAAAAATTTACACCATTTAAAAGTGCTCAGAAATAAAATGGAATAGCACACAAAAGAATTTTTTTTTCGGCACCAAAAATGTGATGAAGATGACTCAAAGAAAGGAACGAGAGAAAACAGAAAAAGTTGAAAGCAATGTTGCCAGTTTTACTTATTTCCTTCTGTTTAGTTTCATTTGAATGCTAAAGATTAGAACCAACATAATTTTTTGGGCTTATCATTATGTATTCATTCTCTGCTTCCCATATCCTCGAAAAAAAACAAAATCAGAAAAATTGAACGCAAGAAGAGAAAAGATACGCAAAAATGATTAGATACTTTTTCTGTATTGGTTTACAATATTTTAATATTTTTTCATTATCAATTTCTTTCAAGATTCATACGTCAATTTTTTCATAATTGAACAATATTTTGATATTTTTTTTAGTATTCACCTCCATGCTTATACTGAATCGTTGTTGTATATTTTTTTTTGAATAACTTTTTGTTATGTATAAATTTCCCATTGTTTATTAATTTTTCTCATACTGCCCATACATAAAGCATATCAAGTATTTTTCAATAACAATTAACATGACAATATGCTCATAAATTTTAATGAGTTTTGATCATTAACCGTCGAAAAATGAAAGATTTATACTCACACCAAATTTCTAGAGTACTCTTTGTCAAAAAGAAAGAAGATTGCTATCTTACTGCTAAGATAGAGTTAGAGAGACTTTAAATATTTACATAAGCATATATGATAGAGTCAAATAGTAAATAAAAATATTCTATCTTCTATTTAACTCGACAAAATGTACAACTTATCATAAATTTTTTTCTTGTCACTTTGTGATATAAAAGTTTATAAATGTAAAATACATTACTTAATCAGCAAATTGTGATAGTAGAAAAAGTTCTATGTGGAAAAGCATTTCATCACAATTTTAAATCCTATTCAAAGCTTTAAAATAAATTAAAATTATCAAGATTTTGATCTTTTTACCAGATTAAATGTTTTACTCACTCGAAAAACATTAAGAACATTATATTTGAAATCTCAGAAGCTATGGCTAGTCGTTGACAGATTCTAATTACAGTTAAAAAGATATAATGCAATAAGAAGTCATCTTGATATAGAGTGTGCAATTTGATTTTTACTATCGCTCGCCATAAATTGTATACACATGTGAACCCAAGCCGGTTATTTGAGCTTTTGTTGTAATTCCCATGAAAACACATACATAGCATGCAAAATTGTATGCAATAACGAATGCAAATTAATCATTTAATAAAAGCTACCTCGCCCGTGTGTTCCACATGATTGAACAAAAAATAAACATTTTTATTAAAGATGAAAACCAAATTAAGTGATGCACATTATCAGATATAATGCAGATGATAATAAACAAAACGTGCACTTGATAATAGATAGTAAATTTTTATCTTAAAATAGGAAAAACTAATTCACGTGCATTAAAAAAACGTTGAGGGTCAAGAACATGACATTTTTTCATGATTCTATAAATTTTTTTTTTTTTATCAAATAGTGAAAACTCTTTTCAATCAAAATCAAATTAGTTTCAATTAATTGAACAGATACGTAATTCCTGTTCAATACTGAATTATATAATTGATGTTTTTGCATTTTGCATACACACAATGGATACGTTTTAATTAATGATTACGTTGACATTTTGACATTTTAAAAAGCGATTTATATTTCTATATTTTTGAAAACTTAATTTAATACGATGATTTTAAATTTGTGAACTTTTATTGTATGTTTTTTTTCGTATTATTTTAGAGTGATATTTACGACATACATCCAACATTGTTGTAAATCATCATCATCACAATAGAACATTGGAAAGAATAGAGGAAGAAATTAATTATCAATAAATAACAAAGCCACATCATGTCCGTTTTCGGCCTAGTTTCCGCGGTCGCGGGTTTTGTTAAAGTACGATACCTGGTTGATAAAGCTGTCATCGACAATAGTATCTTTAGGTGTCATTATAGAATAACAAGTGCCCTGTTGTTTGTATGTTGTATTATTGTCACTGCCAATAATTTAATCGGTAAGCTTTCATCTTTATTTACATGCTAAATAAATTTTTAAATAACGGAATATAACTAGGCGATCCTATTAACTGCATCAATGATGGAGCGATACCAACACACGTTATAAATACGTATTGTTGGATTACGTACACGTATACATTGCCGGGAATGCATGGTCAACCTGTTGGAACTCATGTAGCGAGTTCAGGATTAGGAAATGAATATGGACAAGAGAGGACATTCCATAGCTACTATCAATGGGTTCCATTTTGCTTGTTCTTTCAAGTAAATATCTTTTTACTTTAACATTTTTCAAATATATTGAAATTAACACTTTTTTAGGGAATACTTTTCTATATTCCTCATTGGATTTGGAAAAATTGGGAAGAAGGTAGAATGCGAATGATAACTGATGGATTGAGAGGTGTCCTCACAATGTCACAGGACGATAGACGTTCTCGACAAAATCGTCTAGTTCGTTATTTGGTTGACAGTATGAGGACGCATAACACATATGCATTTGGCTATTTCTTCTGCGAATTTCTTAACGTTTGTAACGTGGTATGTATAAAATAAATATGCTTGATTTTTTTTTTTAAATTTTGAGCCTAAAGTAAATCTTTTTATTTTCACTCAGATCATTAATATAGTTCTGGTAGACAAATTTTTGGGTGGCAGTTTCTTAAGATATGGAACAGATGTTATATCATATTCTAATATGAATCAAGAAAATCGTTCTGATCCAATGATTGAAATATTTCCACGAATCACCAAATGTACTTTCCACAAATATGGTGCATCTGGCTCGATTCAGAAGCATGGTATGAAGTTTAATTGAATTAAATATAAATATATTCTGATTTTCTATTTTTTTTTTTGTTGTGTACAGACTCAATATGTGTTCTTGCCCTTAACATTCTCAATGAGAAAATCTACATCTTTTTATGGTAAGCATAACAAATATGAATCAAACTCGATTAAAATTTTAAATTCTAATCTTTTTCTTTTTGTTTTAGGTTCTGGTTCCTCTTTGTTGCTGCTTTAACTATTTTAGCATTGATTTATTCAATGGTCATTCTTATGATGCCAACAACACGCGAGGCAGTTCTACGTCGTCGTTTACGTGAAGCACCAAATGGAATTGAACGTTTAATTCGTCGCATTCAAATTGGAGATTTTCTCATATTACATCTATTAGGACAAAACGTTAATGTTAAATCATATAGTGAAATATTATCGTCATTATTCCATAATTTGTGTGGGGACGGAGATACTCCATCAGCACCTTCAACTCTCGAAATGGCACCAATTTATCCCGAAATTACCAAATATGGCAAGGAAAGTGAAACATAAAGTGCAAAGAAAAAAGGTTATCTCGTGCATTACGATTAATTTATGAAAAAGTAGAAGAATAGAATCGGTACTTGCACTGCCACCCACCATTTTAAGTAAAGAAGTATTAGAATTTAGCATGTGCCGGTGACATTTCAAAGATCATCAAAACTTTTTTCCAGTTAGTGAAAGCATTAAACAAAATTGTGAGAATTTATATATTAGGCAATAAGTGCGCGATTAATTCTAATATTTTTTTTTTCAAAATCTCCTTTTATACTACTTCTACATATTTCCAAAAGAACTTTTTCTTATGTATTAAAAGACTGTTTCGGTTAATAGTGAATGGATCAAAATTATTTGCTGAATGTTGAGCTATATAGTATATATTTTTTTGGAAATTATTGCGTGCGTATATTACATTACGCGTTTAATCAAAAATGAAGAAATTATTCTAATTAATATTTTTTTTTCTATTTTTAACATGTTAGGACGTAAGAAAGACAAAATAATGAGTATGAAGATTTTTAATGTGTCTTAGGAGTGATAAAAAAAGGTTTTAAGATTAAAGAAATCTCGCAAATATAAAAATCTGTACAATAAAAAAAAAGAATCATCATTAATAAGGATTTTTAAGCTCACTTTTGAATTTATATAAAAGAACGAATTTTGCCATAATAATTAGTTTACAATCTCTTTTAAACGACAAATCTCATTTTTTTTAAGATTAAACGTGTATTTTTTCACATATTTTGCAGCATTAATACAAATAAAATTTTTATTTGAATTAAAAAAATCTTTGCGAACTTATCTCAAAATTAAAGAGTAAGCTAATATACATTAAGAAAATCTAATCGAATGATATAGTATAAAACACAATGACTCATCGTGTAATGTGAGAGTTTTAATTGTTTTAAGAGAAGAAATTGTAAGACAAATGAATAAAATGTGATTAATTCTAATAAGTCGATAAAATATCTTTTTTAACTCACCTGTTGCCCCAATCAATTTTTGAGATGACATTCATTTGCAGATCGAGTGTTTGATCTTGTGTAAGTGTAGCACTCAGTAGTTCTATAAATGTATGCAAGTTACGTAACTTTATTGTACATTAATATTGTATTATTCAACACTTACCACGACGACTTTCAAGCAGCGATAATATTACCTTTCTCAAAGTAATAAATTTGTAAGTCTCACGTTCCTATAAGTAAACATTATTTTTGACTACTACTCAAGAGATGTCGCTAGTAATTCAATCATTCATACCACATAAAGTTTCTTCCATATTTCTGACCACTCTCTCAGAACTTGAGTGCATTCTGCGACAACTGGATCTTCTTTTAATGGATCTTTCAAATGAATATAGCTTTTCGGGAAAATTCCAACGGAACGTGGTTTTCGTGTGCAACTACCTCTCCACCAAGATCCATTTTCTTCGAATATTTCGACAAAATCGCCAACATCTAGTCCTAGTCCGTGAGTAACTTTTCCATTCCAATTATGGATTGCTTTAAAACAAATTAGATAAAGTGCAATCATTAAAAATTTGTCAATAAAATTTGATCAAACGAAAAATTACCAGTGAGCACTAAAATAAATGTTGAGTTTAATTTACACAGCTCATTAAAGCAACATTTTATGTGTTCACTGATATCAATTATTTCTCTTCAGTGATTCAAAAATATGTCACATTAAGTGTACAAATTCGTAGAGGAACAGTTCGTTGATTGTTAACATCTGCGTAAATGTTTAATATTTCAAAACTTTAAATTATTATATAAATAATTAATTACTTTTAATAAACACATGTTGAACTATATAAGCTATTAACTATTTTTCGCAAATATGTCTCAAGAGAGCAAAAATTAAATCAATTTGACTTCACATCATGTACCCGAACATACAATGAGTATACTAAGAGCACATTATTTGTGAGCTTGCAAACTTTTGTGAGAATGTGCTCATTTCATACATTAAAGTGATGCGATCACGGTCCCTTTTTGAGTATGCTCAGTTAGCACATTCCTATGTGACAAGCATTAAACTCATTGAACATACTAGCATAACAAGAATATAAACTTACTGTGTTTATTTATGAGTATGGACGAAGGAAAATAATGAATAAATTCAAATTCAAATTCAAAAAAAAAATGTGCTCATCTGAGCACACTCATGAGTAAACTCAGGTGAAGTTACAAAATTCAAAAAATTAATTAAGTTAAATTTGAATTTTATAGGTAGCTGGATAGATTAGGTAAAGGATAAGAATGTTTTTTTGAAAAATGTCGACCTCCATAAAAATGAATTTCATTAAAACAGCACCAGTTGTATTTTGGCAATATCATATGAGTTATATGGCATCTGCATTTATATGATTATGATAAATTTATGTCATAAAGAACTGAGTATGTTCTTAATATTCTCATGAGTATGTTCAGTAAGTGCACTCATATGAGAACGAAAACAAAATTATGTCACACAGAAGTGAGTATGTTCTTAATATTCTCATGAGTATGTTCAGTAAGTGCCCTCATATGAGAACGTAAACAAAATTATGTCACACAGAAGTGAGTATGTTCTTAATATTCTCATGAGTATGTTTAGTAAGTGCAATCATATGCAAATGTAAACAAAATTATGTCACACAGAAGTGAGTGTGTTCTTAATATTCTCATGAGTATGTTCAGTAAGTGCACTCATATGAGAACGAAAAAAAATTATGTCATACAGAAGTGAATATGTTCCTAATATTCTCATGAGTATGTTCAGTAAGTGCACTCATATGAGAACGAAAAAAAATTATGTCACACCGAAGTGAGTGTGTTCTTAATATTCTCATGAGTATGTTCAGTAAGTGCACTCATATGAGAACGTAAAAAAAATTATATCACACAGAAGTGAGTATGTTCCTAATATTTTCATGAGTATGTTCAGTAAGTGCACTCATATGAGAACGAAAAAAAATTATGTCACACAGAAGTGACTATGTTCTTAATATTTTCATGAGTATGTTCAGTAAGTGCCCTCATATGAGAACGTAAACAAAATTATGTCATACAGAAGTGAATATGTTCTTAATATTCTCATGAGTATGTTCAGTAAGTGCACTTATACGAGTGTATTCGCATAAGTATGTTCTTAATATTCTCATAAGCATGTTCAGTAAGTGCACTCATATTAGAACGTAAAAAAAATTATGTCACACAGAAGTGAGTATGTTCTTAATATTCTCATGAGTATGTTCAGTAAGTGCACTCATATGAGAACGAAAAAAAATTATGTCATACAGAAGTGAGTATGTTCTTAATATTCTCATGAGTATGTTCAGTAAGTGCACTCATATGAGAACGAAAAAAAAAATTATGTCACACCGAAGTGAGTGTGTTCTTAATATTCTCATGAGCATGTTCAGTAAGTGCACTCATATGAGAACGTAAAAAAAATTATGTCACACAGAAGTGAGTATGTTCTTAATATTCTCATGAGTATGTTCAGTAAGTGCACGCATATGAGAACGAAAAAAAATTATGTCACACAGAAGTGAGTATATTCTTAATATTCTCATGAGTATGTTCAGTAAGTGCACTCATATGAGAACGAAAAAAAATTATGTCACACCGAAGTGAGTGTGTTCTTAATATTCTCATGAGTATGTTCAGTAAGTGCACTCATACGAATGTATTCGCATAAGTATGTTCTTAATATTCTCATAAGCATGTTCAGTAAGTGCACTCATATTAGAACGTAAAAAAAATTATGTCACACAGAAGTGAGTATGTTCTTAATATTCTCATGAGAATGTTCAGTAAGTGCACTCATACGAGTGTATTCGCATAAGTATGTTCTTAATATTCTCATAAGTATGTTCAGTAAATGCACTCATATGAGAACGTAAAAAAAATTATGTCACACAGAAGTGAGTATGTTCTTAATATTCTCATGAGAATGTTCAGTAAGTGCACTCATACGAGTGTATTCGCATAAGTATGTTCTTAATATTCTCATAAGTATGTTCAGTAAATGCACTCATATGAGAACGTAAAAAAAATTATGTCACACAGAAGTGAGTATGTTCTTAATATTCTCATGAGAATGTTCAGTAAGTGCACTCATACGAGTGTATTCGCATAAGTATGTTCTTAATATTCTCATAAGTATGTTCAGTAAATGCACTCATATGAGAACGTAAAAAAAATTATGTCACACAGAAGTGAGTATGTTCTTAATATTCTCATGAGTATGTTCAGTAAGTGCACTCATATGAGAACGTAAAAAAAATTATGTCACACAGAAGTGAGTATGTTCTTAATATTCTCATGAGTATGTTCAGTAAGTGCACTCATATGAGAACGTAAAAAAAATTATGTCACACAGAAGTGAGCGTGTTCTTAATATTCTCATGAGTATGTTCAGTAAGTGCACTCATATGAGAACGTAAAAAAAATTATGTCACACAGAAGTGAGTATGTTCTTAATATTCTCATGAGTATGTTCAGTAAGTGCACTCATATGAGAACGAAAAACAATTATGTCACACAGAAGTGAGTATGTTCTTAATATTCTCATGAGTTTGTTCAGTAAGTGCACTCATATGAGAACGAAAAAAAAATTATGTCACACAGAAGTGAGTATGTTCTTAATATTCTCATAAGCATGTTCAGTAAGTGCACTCATATGAGAACGTAAAAAAAATTATATCACACAGAAGTGAGTATGTTCTTAATATTCTCATGAGAATGTTCAGTAAGTGCACTCATACGAGTGTATTCACATTAGTATGTTCTTAATATTCTCATGAGTATGTTCAGTAAGTGCACTCATAAGAGTACACACCCATGAGTATGTTCTTAATATTCTCATGAGTACACTCGTTGAATGTACTCACGTGAGCTTATAAATTTTTTGCAAAAAAATAAAGTGAGTACATTCGTAATGAACTCCTGAGCATGCTCAGTTGAATGAGCTTGCATGAGTATAATTTTTGAGTAGACTCACTTTTTTGAGCATGCTCTTTGTATGTTCGGGGTATAAGTAAACCAAAATTAATTTAAAATAATAAAATTAATTTAAATTCGTGAGAACTGCCGGTTAATTTTTTGTCTTCTTCATATTTTTTATCTTTTCATGTAACACTCGAGAAGCAATAGAAGGAAGACAAAACATATGATCTTCATAATATGAGTAACATTTTCTCATGATCCAATTTTTTCTCACTTCTTTTTTAAACAAATGAAAATTTAATAGTTTTGTAAAGAAAACGATGAGTGACGGTAGTGAAGGGATCATTAAACTTTTCATTGTCGACAGATAAAACTTTATATGCAGTTAATGCAATGTCCCAAAGGTTCTATTTGTACTCTCTTCTTTAATATAGTACCACAAAAAATTGTATTCAATCAGAATATGAATAGGTTTATTTGCGATTCAAATAGTTGGCACCAACATGATGATGGAATATATAAAGATTACAAAATGACATATTTGCTGGTATCAAAATGTGCACCGGAAATAGTCGAGCGTTGCTTTCGATTTATTTTCTTTTATTAATTTCTGTTTATTCACTCTTATTCTTTGTAACTCTAATATACGCATATTTCCTTTTTTTTTAAAAAAAAATTTGCTTTCCAAAATTATTCTCATTCTATAGAAGCAGCATTTATATTAAGAAGCTAATTTATACTTTTGGTAGCTATTAATTTTACATCAAAAAAATTTTTGCAAAATTTTTGACAAAACGTGAATTGAATAATAAAGCTTAATGAATTTATTGTGAATGTTTCAAGTTATATTATACTTATTATTGTCATTTATTAATAATATAATATACTCAATTAATATCCATTCATTCATTCATTCACTCACTCACTCACTGCAAACATATACTTAGACAATATGTGAAATTATGGAAAAAGTACGTTTCTCATAAGGAAGAAAAGACGATTGAAGCGATAAAAAAGTTTAATAAAATAATGGACATCTGAGACACTTAAAGTCTAAAGATCTTTATCATTTTGTGACATCCTCTGAGAAAAGCGATTATGGAGGGTTGAAGTATGAATAATAAAAGTGTTTACAGTTTGATACCGTGCATGCATCATATAATAGAGTAAATGCAAATAAAAAGCAAAAAATGTCTCATTCCAAAAATACTCGCACTTATGAATGAATTTGTGGTCCAATATGTCTGATTTTTACGCATAGTCCTCTTTTCTCTTATCACAATAATAGTAAACAATTTTCGTTATCAATTTTTGACGCAGTTAATGTACAAAATAATTAACTTTCACTCAGGTCTTTTAAATTGTTAATTTAAAGAAATTTAAAAAGGAAGAGAATTTGCTCACCAACTCCACATTTACGATTTTCTATCCACATTTTTATTGATTTTTCCCACTGTTTTTCCGGGATTTTCTTTTACTACTTTATTTGATTGGACTTATTTTTGCGAAAATTATTTTCCTGGTTTTTCTCACTTTACTTTATATTTTTCACTATTTCTTCATCTTAATATTAATGGTAACGTATTTTAGCAGTTAATTCAATACTTTTCATCACTTAATTTGTACGATAACTATGTTAAATTTCAATTATTATCGCAGCCAGTGAAAATTAATCTTATAGCTGTTTAGAAGATTTTCGTCACTGCACATCAACTCAAATTTATTTCCATTTATTTCATTCAAAATATACAGAAGCGCATTTGCTATGAAAATTTTTTGGTAAACTCTAATTTCTATTTAGGTAATGTTTTTCAATCAATATGATTAAATTGAATCCTCACAATGTATTTATTTTAAAAGTTCAAGCATTGGTTTTTTTTTCAAGTTAATTGCATGACCCAGCATGACCCATAGGTAAAGCGAATAAAAATTATCAATCCAAACCAAGTTATCATGACCAGAACACCGAAAAAGCACTAGAATTAAATTTTTGGTTAAGTCAAAGTTATGATATCATAACAGACAAAGAGCACGATCTGAGCATGATTAAAATAAACATTTTAATTTGATGACGCTAAATTAGCATACTCTCCCATACAAATAGAGATCACAGCAGGGTACCACAGAAATCACGCTCTCAAGAGTAGGTTTTTTACTTGCAAATTTTTCATGCAAGTTAAACTTGAGAACATGATCAAGAACATGTTCTGCTGATCATGCTTTAATTTTACTAGAAATTGATATTTTTCTTCTTTTTTTGGTGATTGCCTTGATTCGAACCCGAGTACGCTGTGTTGTAGTATGTCCTGATAACTGTTCATCTTGTCTAATGCCTTCTGAAATTAAATAAGTTTCAAATGGTAAAAAAACATATTTAAACTATAGAAAGTCCAAAATAATTACTTACAAAAGTGATTTCTGCTCTCTTTTGTGAAAAATATAGAACCTTTACTAGTGATTTCTGCTAGCGCTTGTGAAGTATTGAGCAAGAAATTTTTTAGCATAATCTCTTGAGGATGTGAATGATTATGCTTTTTATAAACTCTTCTGATCTGCTCTTGAGATTTTATAAAAGATTTTGAAGTAAAAACTTGCATGCAAGTTATTTATAATTAGAGTATGATTGAGTCCGCTATTGAATATGCTCTTTACTGGGATCTTGAGAGAGTGTTGTAAAAGCGTAGTCTCAACCGTACTCTTGATCAAGAGCATGCCCTTTGTCTGTTAGGGTGATATTATTGAAATTTTGAAGAAAAAAAAATGATGAGAAAGAATTAAGTACAACAAATATCTCAGTTCCTAATATTCAGAACATTATTTTTAAACAAAAGAATTCAATGTAAATGAAGTTGTTAACAGACATACAGGCACAAAGCGGATAATAGCTTCATTTTGTTTTTAAACGGAGTTCAAAAAAATTGTGCAACCCTGCCAGAAAGGAAGTAAAAGAGTTAATTTATGATACTGGATGTTTTAAGTGCATTTTTAATAATTAAGCTTATTAATTTCTTAAAAAAATGCTGGTTACACTGAGATTCATTAAGGTTCCAATCATCATATTTTAAAAATTTAAATAAATAGAAAAATAAGAGAAAACATCAAAATTTGGAATAGACATACTGCATAAAAATCTAGTGATTAGTTCCTGTAAAAAAAGCTATCAAGAAAAGAGAGGAAAATGATTAAAATAACACAAAATTTAATATTGAATAAAACTAGCAATATTTTAAGGCTTTTTACAAATAGTTTAAGCACCACAACAACATGTTTAAAGGCAGACGATCGGAAATATTTGATATCCACAACACCGAAAAAGGATCAAGGCACAGAAGGAGAAAAAACTATAGAAATTGACGAGCTGATTAAAGGGTAATTTTTTTCAATAAAAACGATTTTCTTAGATTAATATCGAACTTTAATTAAAGAAAAGGAAATATTTTTCCGGATGAAAACACTCCTACTATGCTGGTTCAAGGTGTACCTTTCAAAGACCTTCCAATTGTTCATATTCGTGTCACAAAAAATAATACAGTAATGTCATTAACGAATTCAACAGGAATCATTCAAATGATACGATCCTGCGGTATTGAAGGCTTTAAAAACACCAAGAAAGGAACAAATATTGCAGCTCAGGCAACAGCAATTACATTTTGTGGCAAGATAGTTGAAAGAGGAATCAAACAAGCACGTTTGACTGTTAGAGGAATTGGTCCTGGTCGAATGTCTGCAATTAAGGGCTTACAAATGGGAGGATTGAATATTGTATCAATTACAGATATGACACGAGTGTCATGGAATCCTCCAAGATCCAGGAAACAGAGAAGATTGTAAAGTTTCCTGGTTAGATTTAAAAATATAAAAATAAAAATGTAATTAGTGACAGAAGTACTTATTCATATTTATATTTTAACTTGTGATTTACTTAAATATTTTAGAACCAGTTAAATATTCAGTAATGCACAGGAAGCTCAGTCAAGTTTAAATTACCCTGTTTTTTCGTTATAAGCTAGTAGCTTAGAAGAATAAAAAAGTGATTTTTTTGGCTCACTAGTAGCTTAGTAACGAGTAGTAGCTTATAACGAAAAAACAGGGTATGAATTGTTTAAAACCTTAAGTAGATTTTACCGTAATTTATTTATTTAAAATTCACAAAAAAGTACACATGTTCGAAAATATTGTGAATAACGTCGAATCATTTTGTAAATATTGAGCACATTGAGCACGTTTTGTGAAATTTTATTAAATATTCTGAAAAATCAGCAAATATGTCTTTAAAAGGATTAAAAAGTAAGTAAACAATAGTTATAGACAACCAAGATATGATATAATAGAAAACTAATGATAATTAACAATTATTGAACATTTTAGACAGAAAATCGAGACGAGTTCCAGCAGCTCGCAGATATAAAATTTTGAAGAAGATAGCAGCATCAAAGAAAAAGAAGGAGAAGGAAGCAAAAAAGTTACCTAAAAGGAGTGTCAAACAAAAGCTGATTCAAATCCCAAATGTATGTCCATTCAAGGAAAAAATCATTGAAGAAGTTGAGGCTGATAAGGCACGCAGAGAAGAAGAGAAGCAACAGAAAATTGAAAAGATGAAGTTAGAACGACAGGAAGCAAAGAAAAAGAATACATTAGAATCTATTGTTATTGATGCTGAGCAAAGAGCAGAAAGCCATGTTGAGAAGAAGGAAGATGGAACTGACAATCTTCAAGCCAGCCAACAACGAACAAAGGAAAATTCACTCAAATCGTATTTTAAAGAATTCAAGAAGGTCGTTGATGCAGCCGATGTCATTTTGGAAGTTTGTGATGCTCGAGATCCATTGGGAACTAGATGCAATGAAGTATCAACAATTATTCGTGAGAGTACCGGTCAGAAGAAACATGTTCTTATTCTAAACAAGTCTGACTTGATTCCTCGTGAAAATCTTGACAAGTGGATTAAGTATTTGAGAAAATTTGGTCCCGTTGTACCATTCAAAGCAAGTACACAGGCACAAAAGAAGAATATTGGTCGACGTCGATTCAACAAAAGTCGTCCTCAGACTAATCAATTGTCAACATGCGTTGGTGCTGAATTGCTCATGTCATTGCTCGCAAATTATTGTCGTAATAAAGATTTAAAGACATCAATTCGTGTTGGTATCGTAGGAATTCCAAATGTTGGCAAAAGTTCAATCATTAATTCTTTAAAGCGACGCAGAGCATGTCAAGTTGGAGCAACACCTGGAATCACAAAAACAATGCAGGAAGTTGAAATTGATTCAAATATAAAGCTTATTGACAGTCCAGGAATTATTTTTCAACGTCCAAAAAATGAATCACCAGATGAATTTTTTGCACTTAAAAACGCTCAGCATGTTAATACAGTTCAAGATCCATTTCCTTTGGCAAATGATATTTTAAAACGTGCAACAGTCATGTATTTTTGCAAACTCTATGACATTACAGAATATCGTAGTCCAGAAGAATTTCTCTCAAAGAAAGCTATCAAAATGGGAAAATTAATACGAGGTGGTGTACCTGATGTTAGATCAGCAGCTCGTAGTTTGATTCAAGATTGGAATATTGGTAAAATTAAATACTGCACACAACCACCTAAAGACGATTCTATGGATGTTCATCTTAGTGCCTCAATTGTCGCAAATACAACAGAACGAAAAGAATTCGACATAGACAATTTAGATGAGTTTATGAATGAATTAAATCAACATTATGAAATCGCAGAAAATGATACAATTATGGAAGTTGACAGCAAAGGTCCAGTTGCAATGAAAACAGGCAAGAAACCAAAAGAATCGTTTGGTGATGCTGATATTATCGATGACGACGATGATGATAATGATGTAGAAGAAATGGTAGAGACTGATAAGAATAAAAAGAAAAAGAGAAAGGCGAATGATGATGATTATCAAACGAAAAAAATCAAAAAAGATCCTGTATTCAAGCTTGAAGGAAATCTTTCTGTAAATAAACAGAATAAGGATGCTGCTAAGAAATTGAAGAAAAAACGTGAAAAAAATGAAAAGAAAATTTCAAATGTGGCTGATGTTCTTGAGAATTTCTCATTGAAAAATGCAGGAAGTGCTGATTATGATTTCGATGAGGACTTTAAAATTGAGTAAAAAAAAATCTATATTACTATCCAACTTAAAATTGAACATCTAAAATGAAATAAAAAAATTTTAATTTTTTGAACTCAAAATTTGAAAACTTTATTATATAAATCCCATAAAATCATCAAGGTACTCGATAAACTTATTCAAATTTCCTGTCTCGTACTCCTTTAGTGACGTAACATCAAACTTTTCCAATGTTTCGACAAGATTTGATAAGAAACAGTATACTAAGTATCCGTCTTTATTCAACTGCTCTGCCAACTCTACTTGATGATTATTCATTAATGTATCGTTGACTACAACCAGTAAAGGTTTCTTTTTGCCTAACACATCTATACAAGTTCCAGCTCCAGCATGAGAAATTACCAAGTCAGCTTCTATTATATCATTTTCAATAGTCGTTTTTAAATCAAACTGTTGCACATTTATATCTTCAAAATGACTAAAATCAATCTCTTTTCCTTTTCCTCTTTGAATTATTAGTTCCTTGCATTTCAATCGGCATTTAAATGTTTCATAAACTTCCTTCTCACTCAGTTTTTCTATGAGATGATCAAATTCTGTAGTTCCAACAGTTACGAAAATCCTCTTAAATTCCATTTTATTCAATTTGCTAGTTTATTTTCTTAATTTTTTTATGTGACTTTTTGACGACAATAATCATAACATTTAGTTCCTCTAACATTCATGTGTATGATTTCGAAATTATTTTCCGAATTTTACTTTCAAAAATTATGCGGGAATATCCAGCACATGTAATGTTGAAGCTGGAAGTGGTTTGAAAATTATTAAATTTAAATTTAGGGTGCTTGAGCATAGTGACATTGAGGGTAATGAAACAGCTGGCCCAAGAGGCTGTACACAAGGAAATCCATGACAAGTTCACGTATTATGTTTTGGTTTATTGATGTCAGACATACGTGAATGGATGGATAGACAACATTTTCGTATCTGGAATTAAGAGTAAGGAGCCATCACAGCCAAAAGACTTCTTGGTCCTAAGAACAAGATTAATTTGTCGGGTGCTTTTAGGCTATCAAGGAAAGATCTTAGCATCTTAATTGGTGCTTTGACAGGACACATTAGTATCAATAGTTTTATTTTTAAGTTAAATTTGTTTAAATGTAAATTTTGAAGGCTTTGGAAGTTGAATGAAGAAACGATCATTCATATACTTTGTAAATGTAGGTCATTACGAGGACAACGTGTCAAGCATTTTGATGAGGACTATATGAATGATGAGGATATAAGTAAGCAGCATTATCTAGACACTACTGGTTTCATTAAGGACATAGGAATTACATCATATAAGACTTGGGACGGTACAACTGATTATCGATCGCAGTGCTGTTTTTGTTGTTAGCAAAACCCTACATTACTTTCTATTCTATTCTATTCTATTCTATTAAATTTAAACTTATCAAATGTTCCTTTAAATAAAAATATTAAGCAGAGAAATAGACTAAAAGTTTAAATTTGAGTTTATTGAACAATAAATTACTTCAGTTGTTTGTGCCACTTACGTTCACTACAAAATTCCCTAAGGGGCTGTTCACTTATTACGTAACGCGAAAAAATGACTTCTTAGACCCCCCCCCCCCTCGTAACAAAATTTGTATGAAAAAAAAATTTCCTTGTTTGAACCGTAACAAAATCTTAGACCCCCCCTCCCCCTAAAAGCGTTACGTAATAAGTGAATGGCCCCTAAAGCGTTCGCCCTTTTTAATGGCTTGGAAGATTGAGAAGAAGAAATCGTATTTGAAAGAAAGAAAAATGAATAGGTTTTTATTATCTTCCACTCTGCTCACGTTGTTGTTATTGCTTTTCCATCTATCTAAAATTGAAACGATTTTTTCCCCAGTGCAATTAAGAAGTCAGAATGTTTAGCTGACAAAGAGGAAAAATGTGTATTTCAATACATACAAAGTTTAGACCACGCCCTCAAACACATAAAAAATTGAGTTTTTAAGGAGTATGGAGAAGAAGTCAGAATAAAATTTGGAAAGGAGAAGAGAAATAAGAAAATGATAGCAATATAAGTGTATTTCAACAAGATACATTTAATATTGATTGCCCTGATATTTTATCTATCTCTTATATCTGTAATGTACTCCAATAGAGAGCAATACAAGATCTCATGATCAATCATTCAATCATCTGTAAAATGAATTGTATCGTATCCATGAAGCACTCATTGTCAATTTCAACTCATTTGGGAAAATTTTATGTATTGTCAGAAATACGCAAAAACTTAAATTAAAAATCTCATCATAGCTCATCATAAGTGCAGTTAAAATATGAATGATTTTATTCATAACACATATTTATGGTGAATATGAATACTGCACTTGAATTTAAATGTTTTTCATATCCTGCAATTACTTGATGGTTTTTTATTCATTGCGCTCGATGAACATTTTGTGAGATGAACAATCATTTTTATTGCAATTTGTTTCCACATTTGTGAACTTCTGTTTTAAAATTTTGTCTTTTGCCTTGTTTTAATGAAAATATATCTTTGAACAGCATAGAATTAAAACCAAACTTGACAGTCTTTTGTTGACTTTTTCCCTAAATCGCTTTTCATATCTTCTTTTCTTTTTTTTATTACTGAAAATACATCAGAAACAGATTGTCATTTCAAGGCTAACAAACAATTCATTACTTCATTTCCCTTGCTATTTCATGTCTATCATATTCATAGAAGAACAAAAACCTTTTTTTTTTTGTTGTTCATGCATAAATTCCTTTTTTATGTTTAAATTCAAAGATCAATAGAGATAATTGGAATGAAAAAAAAAGGTATGATTGAAATAGCTTGAAAACGCCTTAAAGTTATGCTAAATTGTTATTTTTGATACAATTTGTTGTTTCCATTCCTTTTCTGATACTTAATCATTATAGGGCAAAATCGAAAAAATAACGGTTTTTTTTTCTTCTTCTTGAATATATCCCAGTTCATATGTCGTTTATTAAGAAAAAGTCGGGTGTGACAAGCGACTCCAAACTTCGTATCTACAAATCCATTATCCGACCTATAATCACATATGCCTGCCCGATATTCGTTAACTGTGCCAAGACCAATTTTAATAAATTACAAGTGTTCCAAAACAGAATGCTGAGACAAATCTTTGAAATCAACTGGGATGACTTCATCTCAAATGAATCTATCCATTCTCAAGCCAATATACCATCAGTTCATGAATATGCAATTAAACTCTCTCTAAATTTTTATGCTCAGTGCCCCTCGCATAATAATAACTTGATTGCCAATTTAGGTCAGTACAATTATGACTCTCTGGATTTCAGATTGAAGCACAGACTTCCAAAACCTAAAACTCTTAAAGATTAGGTTTTTTGTTTTCTATTCTACTATTCTTTTTTATTTTTTCTATAAAACTGCTATCATATTGGATTTTTTTTAAAAATTTTTGATCCTTTAACTCATCAAACTGTCTTAACTTCATAATCTCGAACTAAAAATCATTGTAAATTTAAATTGAAACCGAAAAGGTTGGTGTTAAAATTAAGCTCCTGTGACATGTAAAATGCATCTAATTTCATAATAAACACACTATTATTATTGATATGTCGTTTGAAAAATCCAAGTTTTCACTCATTTTCAACTTCAAACAGCCTTAAAATTGCAGAACCAACACCAAATTTGGCATATAATGTATGTATATTTTAATGTCTTTCACAAGAAAAAAAATAATCCGGAAACGTAATTTGAAACATTCGCATTTTAAAGTGAATCATCCGTTTTTTTTCGATTTTGCCCCATAATGTAATGCTCACGTGCTCAACGATAGTTAAGTATTTTAACAAAATGTTTTTTAAATAATCCTCAATGCTTGTCAAGTAATAAAAAATATGAAAACGGTTTTATTGTAGAATAAATTATAATTTATTAAGTTTGCTTTTAATATCGCAGCGCAGTAATTTCCATTGTTGCCGCTCCTAAATAGCGTAGATGGAAAATTTGGAACATCAATTATTATTTTTTTAAACATCATCATATTGAGCTTAAATGTGCAAATCAACAATAAGCTTCGATGCTTAACTCCTAAATTTAAATCAATAAAATCCCCCAAAGAAGTTGAAGAGATGTGTACAGGAAATGTTTTTCATTCTAAAACTCAACGCATACGTGTAACGAGATATTTCTCCTCACATACTGAAATCATTTTAATGGTAATTTTAGATTTTTCAATTTCTCAAGATTTCAATAAAAACTACAGTAAGGCACATCATTTTGTCTCTGTCTAAAATTCGCTTCAAATTTGTCTTGATTTCCTTCAATAAATGATGAAAGAAGTATTGAAGTAAGATAAAGCACATGGATATTACAACTTGTTTCGTGCTTATTCTAAAATATATCTTAGGGTTGATTTCTCATTCCAATTATATTCTCGATTTCTTTATTCATACTGCTTGATATGATGAACGATGATACGACAAACATTTATTTCGTTTTAAGTTAATTTTGATGTTTTTTGCGTGTACGAGAATTTAACATCATTATGATAATTTTATTTATATTTTCTTCAACTCCGAAACGTTATTTTCATGACTTTTTAAAAGGGTTCGTGCAGCATAATAAAAAAGCTCTTGAGTGAAGTACTGTGTATCGTGTTTCGTGAAAACAGAAATTTTATTTTTATGATAATTATTTAAATGATAATGTTTTAATCTAGGGATGTAATTTTGTTTCTTTGTGCTTAATATACGTGATTTAATTTTGATGAGCTTAATAGAATTATTAGGAGAGAAAATGGATTTTTGTAACGAATGAAACTGGCTATGTGTCTGTTAATTATCATAGAAATGTAATGGAAGCATGTTGTTTTTACTTATTAGTAAAATTATTTGAGAAAACTATCAACAAAATAATTGATACAGATAACAGAGCATGTGCAAAGAATTTTATTGAGTGAGTTTGATTGAATTTTGCTTGATGGACCGATAAATGACAGCTCGAATGTCTCTACACTGCAGCATTTAATTTCGTTCCAAGCAGTGATTAGTTTAATAGCTTTTCCTTTTAATATTTTTATTCATTCACTTTTATGATTGATTTTCGATTATCTTCTTTTGTGATGCGCTCTTGATTCACCAAATCGCACCCTCTTGATATAAATTTCGTTACTGTTCTTTAATGTTAAATGTATGTAATATCTGAATTAAAGAGCAATCACAACATGTGTTTATTTGGTACCATCATCATACTTTTTAACCTACAAGTGCAAAATGAAAATGAAAACTTTCCATTTCATAAAATTTAATCGATCTTAATCAAAAATCGACCCCGGAAAATTAAACATTATGAAATTCAACACCGACCACAGATGTCAAATTATTGTTGATAGTTCGTTGGAAATGAATTAATACAGTTTATTATCAGCATCATAATTCAACGATTTTTATCATTTTGCTAATATAATTTAAGTTAAATCTGGTTGAATCTAAATGTTGTAAATTTCATATCAGAAATGAATTCTCAATTCAATAAATAAAAATAAATCATAAAATAAAATGGCATGTTTAGTCTGTATTTAATCGGAAATGAATTAAAATTTCCTTTAATCATTGTCGTCAAAAAGTTTACATTCACATTGCAAAAACATTAAAATTGAAGCCTTACAGAATACAACAAGAGCCGATTTATGCATGTGAAAAGAGTGTGTATATGTGTGGAAAATAAATCGATGCTCATTCATTCAATATTGAACATGAGTAAAATTGTAAAATGAATCGATTTTGGCGCTTTGTAAAAGTTCTCTGACAATGCAATTGCAAAAATCGATGACAATTTAAATAAAGGCAACAATAGGACTCGGGTACAGAAATAGCGAGGCGATTTATAAACATGAAAAAAAATGTGATAAAACACGAGTTAAAAAATTTATTCTATGTTTAACATTTAAACACAATAAATGTTGAGAATATTTAAATAATTTATGTCGGATATCCCTTCTCACTTGCTCATTGTCCTCATCATTCTCAAGTTTCTTATTCACGAATTAGCCTCAAAACATTTTTTTCTTAATTTTCCTTAATTTATTTGGACAAATCACCGCAGTTTATAAAGCAAATAAAAGAATAAGGGATGAAGGAATAAAGAATGGAGGGAATGAAAAATGAGAAATTTCCTTCAAAAAAGATACATTTTGTACCATCTCCGATTACTCAAGAAATTACTTTAAATGAGATTAAGATTTTCTCTGTCTCCGTTCCTTTGAAGAATTTTCTACTTTTCTAAAGTTACTTCTTCTTTTGCTCGATCCCCAAATTGGGAAGTTTATTTTACAATTTATTTAAGTGGCATTTAGACACTTTTTCCCTTTTTAATTTCGTTCTTTAAATCTGATCCTTATTTTTGTCCTTCGATTTTAATATAAATTTTCTCGTGAAAAACCTTACTGAAGTAATTATAATTTTTGCAACTTTTGGTTTAACGATATATTTTTGGAAACGGAAGTCTGTACTTGTTTTGTAAACACAGTAATAAAATAAGTACAAGCAAGCGAAACAAATTCTGACACGTGTCCAAAGCAATGGAAAGGAATGAAGATCTTTTCATACTTGTAATATAATTATGGAAATGTTCACAGTTAGAATGAGTTTATATCTCAAATAGGGTGTTTATATGTTTTTATGAAATGAATACAATATTCTTCCATGTATCAATTTAATCAGTTCACATCCATTTATTTAAAAAAAATTATAAACACGTGACTTAAAAGCATAAGTTCCTAGCAATTAGGATATCCTTTTAAAATCCACCACAATTTAATCAAACTTCAAAATGTTAAATAAGACCCTTAGGAAGTACACTTCAGCACTTGAGTGCTCTAGTTTTGTAAGATTCTTGAATTAATAATCATAATTAAAATTTTATAACATGCTTTAAGTATAATGGCTTGAAAATTAATGAATCACAAAAGCAAGTACTAAGTAATTGTCTACCAAATTACAAAATCACAGCAAATTAATTTAATGAATTATTTTTATTATGACAACAACCTGTAACTGCTATCTTTATTTTAACTGATAAGGTATAACAACTTGATAAGCAAATACTTTGCTACAACTTTCCTCCGAAAAATAAATTTAGTTCCTCCTATACTCTCAGTTAATGAATAACACATCTTTAGTTCTTAGAAAATGGGTGAAAAAGATAAGTTTAGGCGTGAGGAGGAAGACGATGATGAATTACTAGAATTTATTTCTTTGCTTCTACTCGTGATTATCCCTATCGTATTAATCTATGGATTATGCGTATATTGTTTCAAACAAAAACAAATAGGCTTAAGAAAAAGGAAGATTCGAAAAAGTAAGTCAATTTCTTGAATTTTAAAATTTTTAAAGAGCATCTTGCTGAAATCAGAAATTATTATTTTTAAGATGAAGTATGTACTCGAATGGCAACTCATCAGCCATCTACAAATGATTTATTGAGGGTATATACGGTACCTTTAGAACCAGATTCTTCAAATAACTCACATGTTATTGAAAACAATGTAAATCACAGAAGCTGTCCAACTTGTTCATGTCGCCAAAATGAGTCAAGTTCAATCAATAATGATCCTTCTTTACCAGAGTCTGAAGAACATCATGAATCACCAGATCCTACTCTTCCAAGTTACTCACAAGTTTTGAGTAAATCTCCACCAAATTTTTACACAATACCCAATTAATGGTTTAAAAAAATAGTCATATACTCTTTATAACTTTATCTTTTTAATAAATGTTTTTTTTTCCTTTTTTATTTTTACCTGTTGTCATGTTTCGATGTCGAAACAAAGTAATTGTTGATAAACATAACAATATGGTTGAATAAATGTGCACTTTGTTAAAGCCAATCAGCCAACAAACGAGTGCTGAAGTGCACAAATAAACAAAGAATGTCTAACATTGGTTTTCCAATTTGATGCTGTCAAAATTGATATGAAATGTGATTGTAGGGAGTTGTATGACACATAGTCATGATTCTCATTTTCTACATTTCATTTTATTTTTTTTTATGAAAAGGTAAAACTTTTCCAATAACAAAACGCTGATATACTTATTTCTGAAAACTCAATTTTCACACTGTCGACATTCTCATGAATTTAAATGAGAAAAATTTTCTGAAAACTTTTTTTACGGTTAAAAAAAATTCCAATTTTCATGAAAAGCTCTTCGTCGGTTTCATAGAATTTTATTTTATACCTTTGAATATTTTATGCAGCGCAATTCGAGTAGAAAAAAAATCCAATTTCATTTTTTTTTCGAAAACTGTGTGAGAAAATTAAGGTGAATAAATTACTCATGGGATGAATATTAAAATTTTTGTGTCGTTAGGACATAAAACAAATCAATGATGTTTTATTTGAATGACCCAACAAAATATTCCATTGAACTTAAATACTTTAAGTATTGTTGCTTGTGTGCATGAGCATTTTTATCTTCAAAAAAATGGAATAAGATATCAGTCATTCCTTTAAACTTTTTTAAAAAAATCAAGTTTGCAACAAACAATCTCACAAATTTAAGTCGGATGCTTAAAGGTGGCTAAAAGGAATTCAGAACTGAGTTGTCATTGTTGTGCTTATTATTGTAAATAAATTTCAAGGTTTCAAATATCTAAGGATGCAATTTATAAAATACATAGTTTGTTTCAAGTTTCTAAACCTTCATGATTGTTCAATAATTGAATGAAATTGGAACAGAATGAGATAATCGACACTTTAAAACATTTTTTGTCATTCTTGGGAGGTTTATTTAGAAGTGACGTTTAAAAAAAAATGCAGTCATTAGTTCCTTCCTCCTTATTATGTCCACGTAATTAAATTTTAGACGTCATAATGAAATAAACCCTGGTTTTTTATCTTAAAGTTGTCACAATCTGAGTAACAAAACTAATGTATCGGGTAGAAACCCAATGCGGATATATTCACACCGTACCATCAAAAGTCTTTTGGATAGACCAAGATTTGCATATGTTTGAAGGTATAAAGCTAGCGAGTCAGCTGAGCTTCTTGCTTTTCTCAGCAATGCCTCAGTCAATTTAAAATCTGTTTTTTGGAAGATGTGAAATTTCAGGCACAAACTTTTCATCGTAGAACAGGTTGAGCTATCTTGCTACATTTCCACGCAAAATGCAAAAAACTGATTTTTCAATCTGAACAAAACCAATAGATTCACACGTGAAAAAGGTGTGAATATAATAATGATGATAGTAAATTGTGCTTACTTTTGTATTGACTTGTTCTTTTATTAAATTTAATATTTTAGATAATTCATTATTATTCCCAAAAATCTAGCATATGTACATTTGAAAAAAAATACTATTAAATAGATTTTCAACCATTGAATCATGTTTCAAATTCTTAACTCATCACTATAGTTCCCCCTTTATTTTAATCCTTTTAAATTGTTTTCATGTAAGTAATATTAATTCTAGACATGCTATTCAATAAAGCCTTAGTAATGCTTTTCTAGTACATTTACACTTGCAATAAATAAAAATTGAAATAATATCATTATTGAACATATTGATTATAATTTTTCTTTTATTTGATTTTCTGTGCACTTTACATGAACATTTAAAATTGCAATAGTTAAAGTCAGCTTAAATTGAGTGTTTATTCGCTTGTAACTCGATACATATAATATTGAAGTACATGCTTTAAAGACAACAACAAAGGCAAGTCACTTGTGGGCTTCTTTCATACAATAAAGACCACTGGCAAAGCAAGAATTTCTTTTTTTATTGATTACATGACACATTCATGTCACTTGATTGAGCAATAAATAAACCGTAAAGTTTCTTCCTAGAATGTAATTCCATATGTAAATTTTGTTCTTCTTCACATTGCAATTATTGAAGAAATGTGGTTGGTTTTAAAATCAAAATTATAGCAATATAAACTTTCATGTTTTCAATTTCACAAGCCATTAGGTTCAAAATCCTTACGACATGAAGAATCCTATAATAACCGAATTTGATGAGATCAAGAGAACTCAAGAGGTGAGAAAAATCCATTAAAATTTATTATCATTGCCATTGCCAGTTATTTTGCATTCCCAGCGGAATCATTTTGAAAATCCGTACAAAAAGTTACATCTGTGCGGTAAAAAAAATGTTATCAATGCATAAAAACGCCCTTCTCAGTACAACATCTACATTCTTCCATCTTCATCATCATTGAATCAGCAGTTCACATCGTAAACCAAGTCAAACGTGATAAAGGAGATAATGATGTTTCTTGCTTACAGAAAAAAATTATTCCAAAGTTATGTGAAGTAATTTTATTTATCAAACAATGAGATATGAAACGTGAACTGACTTTTGTCTCATCCCATTTTCATCATTATTAAACATCATAAAGAGAAATGAAACATGACTTGTAAATGAAACGAATGAGAAAAGCCACAGGCCTTGAAAAATGTCCCATTGACAATCTTATTTGTGGTTCTTCTTTGTTACTGATATTGTTATCAAGATGTTAACACATTTTATTTGATGTGCTTATTTCTGATCAGTTATGATTTTCCATATTTATTAATTATTATTCTGATCTATTTTGTTGAAAAGTTTTAAAGCAATTGAAGCTTCCAGTTTTTTTAAGATTTTCAACAATTCAAGAAGTCTATATTTTTTGTTTAGGTTTACAATGGATGGACAAACATAATCATGTAAAGATGAATTGAAATGTCTAATGAATACTATGACTTCATATATCTTACATAAAAACTTCCTCCTAACTCTCCTCAAGCGAGTCACAGTACACTAGCAATAAACATAAAGCATCATCAATCTGTCAGAAAATAAAAACGGCACACCAATTATATGTCGAGGGAATTGTTCCCTATTTATTCGTATAATGCTGAAATATGAATAGAAATACCAACAAGGGAAAATTTTGTTATTGCTACTTAATGCCTCGTTTTCTGGTTTCATGCTTTCATGAGTTATTTAATGATTCTATTAAGAATCTTCAGATTTTTTTTTGTTTTCCCTTAAAGGCTTTCACCCTCTCTAAGTTTTCCTTTCTACAACAATTTTAGCAAAATATGTTGATAATGTTTTGATTTATTTATGTTATTACATGAACTTTTCATATGCTATGGTATAATTTTTTTTAGATAAGTAGTATAAGCAGAGAAAACGCTTTTTTTCAATTACTCTACATAGAGCATTTAAATGATATTTCGGGCCTAATTTCTTTTGAATCATATTCACATAAAATTCTGAATTTATTTTTATTGAAGAATCGACTACAATTTTTAATCTTTTCGGATCCTGTAACGCAAACATAAAGCTGTCATTCCTTTTTGGGTCAAGCTCAGACCAGAGCTCGAAATCGATAGGGTTCGAGTCGACTCGAGTCGACTTCGAGCTCTGGCTCAGACCTGCTCCAAATATAATCTTTAAATTTCTTGAAATCGATTCAATAATCGTACACTTTTAAGCCCTGAACGAAACTAAGTTGGTGAATCTCCCAGTGAATCATGATACGTAATATTAGATGATTAATATTTTTTAAGAATCGATCAATTATGATCCCATATCAGCACGTGTAATGTTGCATGAAATGTTTTTAAGTGATTGATTTAAAATCATGTAAAATTTTACATTTTTTTTGACTGTATGTCTGAATAAAACAAAGTCTTTCATTATTTTGTGCTAACGGAGGAGAAAAGCAAAAAGATGAAGAAGAAATAAATAAATAAGTGAGTAAATGTAAACGAGATTTCCTTCAATGAAGAAGGGTGAATATGATTCGCAAAAAATAGACAAGAAAGACAAAAAGGAATATCATGAAAAGACATTAACTTAATGCCTAAATATAAATGCAATTTACTTATTTTGAATGAAACATGAAAGTATGAGAAGAAAAAAAATTCCCTCATGGCGTTTCACTTCCATCATCTCATTCACCATAATTTCGTTAATCTTTCTGTGATTCCTTTTTTTATATCCATTTGCCATTTTATTTGTGTTGTGTTTATATAAGCAGTTAAGTGCCTTGCTGGTCGAATGGGTAAGGCGCTTGGCTCAAATTTGGGATGGTAACTCGAAGATCGTCGGTTCGAATCCAGCCATTTCCAAATTTGTTCTTTTTCGGAAGTTTAGATACTTCGACTGCTTAATGTACGAGATCAAGCCATAATTGGGCATTTGGGCAACGTTGGATTAAGGAACGAGTCAGGAACTTGGAGTGTAGCGGGAGAAATAGGAACGAGAGCTACAAGATTACCCACGAATGGAATATTGTTAGAACGGACCTGAAAAGTATCACGTCACGCCCACAAAAGATCGAAACGAGAGCCTTAGTTTATTTGAAACCTAGATATGAAGATTAGAAGTTTGATCCTACATAATATTAATTCATATGTATACAAATACAAAAGTGTAAAATGTGAATTATTTCCGGACAGTATGTCGTCAATAAATGCAATAAAGTGCAATTAAAATGAAAAAAATAGCAGAGTATAGAGTAGCATGAGAAATTTAATTGGAAATGATAGAAGATGATAAAATGAGAAGCTTAAAATAACAAATGGTGCATGTCATCAATCGGTAGCATTCATTATTTAATGTATCATAGCAACAGTAAAAATCGTTTCTTTTAAAGTGCATGAGAGCATATATTACAATTAAGGATCTAAAAATATTTTAAACACCCTGCCGTGCACCATTTCATGGAGTCTACTAACTGCGCCGCTCGTTTTCTTTTATTCATCCATTTTTTGCCTCAATTCCCATAACTAGTTACATTTAATACCACCAGGCACCTAAATAGCGATTATTTCTTTTTATATTTTCCATCATCAATAGGATAAGCCGAAAATCTGTAGTAAAATAGTTATATTTCATATTTTCTGGTCGAATGCGTGCCAATTGTCTATGATTTTAAATTCTCTTTGTTCGGTGCTTCTTGTTTGCTTTTATAATCAAGGCTTTTTGATTTGATTAGTCTGATGAAAGATTTTTTTTTCTTTTTATTTTTTAACAATGTGTGCGACTTTTGTATCGTATCGATTTCAGGGTGGTCGTTATCCACTTTTCAAGCAGAAATTATGAGCCACTTTGAGACTACTTCAAATTTTATAGTTTTTTATTGGAAGGTTTTTGAAGATGTTAAGCTTTCTTAAAAAATTTTGATAAATTTTAACGTAAATAAAATGAAAGGATCGATGGAGCTACTGATGTACAATGAGCTACTTAAGGAAACAAAGCACACAATGAAAGTGATCCTTTAATCTTCTGCTTGTTTTCTTTTATAATAGAAGAAAATTTGCTTCAAATATTTCTTTTTTATTTTTCATGAAATCGTCTTAGCAGATAAATGTAAAAGTTTTTTTTTTTTGAATTGAAATTCTTACTTCTTTTACTTAAATCGATTTGCATTGATGAGTGAGTGAGTGTAAAGGAAGAAAGATGCCGAATGAACCATGATCTCTTATTGTTTGGTGAATTGCACAATAGAATTAAAGGTAGGGTTACCATCTAGTTTTCATGAAAATACAGGACATTTGGTAAATTTTTTCGAAAAAAACAGGACATAGAGTAAAATTCGAATATTAACGGAAATTTTCATGAAAAAAATACAGGACCAGGAACAAAATTTAAAAATTTATACAGGACAGGGTTTTGAAATACAGGACTGTCCGTTGTAAAACTACGCAGATGGTCACCCTAATTAAAGGACAGAAAATATATAAACATTGTCAAATGGAACAAAAGGCAGATCCATTAAGTATACTCTTATTGTACCATTCTTTCATCTTACAAAATAGAAGATGAGTAGCGCATTAGGAGGTGCTAGTTGATTTTAGATTTTTAAATATTCAAAAGGACTTAATCACGATGCAAATGTAGCTTTTGTGTCAACAATCCTTAACAAAATGTCATTTTTGAAGTGCACACATGAAAATATTTGCCGACAAGCATGCCTAATTCCCTCAAATCCTGATGATAATCACAATTATTCATGTAATGGAAATAAGGATGATGAATAAGTTATAAAAGATGTACATAAATGTGTAAAGAAAAATGGAACATCGTTTAAGAAACTCCTTCAATTTTTCCACTTCACTGATTAGCTTTTAAGAAAATGATTTCTTTTCTCAACATCTTTTAAGCATACCGGACATAACTCAAATAAATTGTTAATGAAACAAAAAACAGTGTTTCGGTGTACATCAAACCCTTTTTTGAAAGGAGTAGTAAATAATTGGAATGGGTAGAATCCAATAAATTTTCATCATTTAATTCTTAATTACTCGTTCGTAATCTGAATAAATGCATCTATATGATAATTCTCATTCTCCATTTATTGCAATAAAATGCTATTGTTGAAAATACAATTTATTCAATGCATCGAAATAATGAATATTGATGGTCGAATATGCGGAAATGCAACTCTACTTCTCATCAGGTATTTTATTAAAACTTTCATGTTATAAAATATAAATCGATCAATTGTAATTAAACTCTCAATGTTAAATACATAAGTATGAAAATAAAAGGTTTACCAATTTTTATTGCATGGATATTCGGCAAAAGTATAAAAATTAAAATGTATGTTATCATGCGAGAAAAAAAAATTCAATGTAGGTATTTAGATATACAGTAACAGAACTTAAAATTGCAACAAAGTAGAATGCGTAAATTATCAGATTATGAAAATTATTTCAGTTATATGAATTGTAATAACGAATGCAGACTGGGCCTTTTGCAAAAAAATTTCGCAGATCAATCGTTATTTTTGTCTGGGTTTTAAAACGGCATCTGGAGCCGATTTAATCATGCGAAACAAAAAGAAAGTTATGAAAATCAAACATAGCTTACCTACATTTTTTTTCTAATGAACAAATTGAGGATGAGTTGTAACAGTTTGAGATGCCAATTTGATGATAAAAGATAAAAAATAATAAAACAATTTAGTACCAAAAATTATTATTCCCTTCCCTTTCGGCCAGTACATAGAAGCAAGCATTAAGTGACCCTTCACAAAAAAGGATCATAATTTTCGAAACTTAATCCACTTTCCATTTACTTACATACTTATATATCTTTTACTTCAGTTATCTCTCTCGAGAGAAAATTATTCTTTTGGGGTAAATAAATCGATATAGAGCATTTGGGTTTTGCACAAGTTTATTTTATCGATGTTTGCGATAAACTTTTTCTCCATTTTCAATAAAAAAAAGAGAAAACTTTCCTTTTAGCAGTATATGTTGTACTCAAACTTTTTCATTTTATCAATTCGATATGTTATTAAACGCTGTATCTAAAGTATCTGTGTATATGTGAAATACTGAAATGAGGCAAAAAGGTTGAGATTATGTTTTCCGAATTGTACATAAAAGTTTTCCTTTTTATTTTTATTGCATAAGATTTTTATCAACATCGAAGAATGATTTCTAAAGGATAAAATTGGCTACGAGGAAATAAATCAGAGTTTTATTGAAACTGACATTAAAACCTAATTAGTATTAAAGTATTTTTTTTTTATCTTAAAGTTCTTTATTTTTTGATAGAAAAATGTATGATTAGCATATATATTGATCCAGGAACAGAAATTGCAATTATACAGCATTTTATTAATTACATTAATCTGTACAAATTAAAATATTCGGCAAAAAGAATACAAAGTAAGTCTTTGATAAATGGAAAATCTATTAATTTAGCAAAACCGAAATGAATGTGCTGTTAAACAAAATAATTAAATGTTGTACAAAAAATTTTAATTGAATAGAATTTCGAATTATGAGTAAGCAAATTGAGCACATTCATGCAAAAATAAATAAAACACATGAAAATGTACAATAACAACAATTAGGCTGTACAGAATTGATGCATGTGTAAACTATAATTATTATTAAAACTATTTTACTCGTACATATGAAAAAATTGCCTTTACACCTTTTTAATTTACGAAGGGAGTAGTCATTATTCTCACACCATTTAATTACAATTTACAATCCCAAAACTGTCTGCAAAAAGTGATTATACAAGAGAAAAACAACTAAAACCACTCTAACAAAAACGATTTTTATTTTTTAATGGCTTTCTACATATTTTTTTCAACTGAAACTTTTATTGTTGCTTTTTATTCACTGAATGCATAAAAGTATCACATGGGGAAATATTTACCTAGCTCTCGCTACACAGTACGATTAAAAAGGTGAGGTTCTTTGTACTTTGGAATATCAGAAGAGCCATCATGTTTTAATCGACACTAACACAAGCACAACAGTATTTTACTCAAGAGGGGTGAAAACGAAAAAGACTACATGCTGATTGGATATGCGCAGATTGCAAATACACACCCCTAATACAATTGTGAAATGTTAAAAAATTTAAGTGGGGTTGGTGAGTGGAAATGTTTTGGAAAAAAAATCATACTTTACAGGCAATCGTCTTTCCAAGGATCATTTACAATCGCAACGCAAACAGTAAAAGTTTTTATTTTCATACCGTAGCCGTTCGCACAGAAAAAAAATATATTCTCACATTTTTTTCTGACGATAAAATTTCGTTTTATTTGTTGCGAGAGAATTCAAAGACGTTTAAGGACAGAGACAATATATTTGCTAGCGCGATGAAATAAGAAGAAAAAGAAGATAGTGAAAAAAGAACAAACGCACTCGAAACAATCAAGTGAGGGGTTAATCATGTTTCATTTTTTTTTCTGAAACAGCAATCGACTTGTAAATTTTTCCTGCCTGTTTTGTACATCAGATTTTCATTTAGCAATTGAACGTTGATCAGAGCGGAAATAAAAGAAAAATCAAGGAATAAAAAAAATCTTATGATGAAAATAAAATAATAAATATGGATAAAGAGTTTCGTGTAGTGAAAGCAATTTGTAACATTTTAGATAAATCCTATCACTGATTTGTGCAATTTATCGTTAAATACTTTTTGTGAATATAAAGTTTGTGGAATTACAAAAATTCAAAAATTATAATAAAGGATTTAAAACAAAAAAAAAATCGAAAAATGTCTTCCCACGATGATATAGATGTGGATATTGATGTAGTTTCAAGTCCAGAACATAGCCCAAGAGCAAACACAACAGATGATGAATCACTTCAAAATTATCATCAAATTCGAACATCAAGGAATTCTCCAATATCATCAACAACCTCCGCTGCAACAATTGCAGCCTCATTGCTCACAACGACCGCCAATTTATCACCATCTACGTTACAAAACTTACAAAATCATAGTGCTCAGTTATTAAATAATCAATATCATAATCATTTAAGCAATAGTTTAATTAATAACAATAATAATATTAATAGTAATCATAATAAAGAAAACCATATTAGTGCTTCTGAATGTGGACGATTAAGTCCACCCAGAACACCAGAGACAAACAATAATAGTGTTAATAATAAATTATCGCCCTCAACTACTACACCGCATTCTGGATTTACTAGTTTTTCAATATCAAGCATACTTAGCCGTCAAGATTCACCAAATGCAAAGAAAATCGTGGCACCTATACCATCATTTCCCATGAACGGTACTCAAGATGCTGCAATGATTTCCAGGTGAGATTTTCTACCTTTTATCACTTTACTGCCGACGGTGAAATTTGATATTCGCGGAATTTTTCTAAAAGTGGCTTTAAATAAAACGATTTTCATGCCATCTTGTATCTTGCTAATCGTCTCAAATATCACAAAAGAAACTCAAATAAAAATAAATAAAATCATTAGACGTTATAAAAAAACAATAAGAAGTACCAAAAAATCTTAAATTTCTAAGAACGATTTAAATCACTTTAAATTAGCTTAAGTGAAATGAAAGAACAACAAACAATTGCTCTGGAATTGCCGAATGATTGAATGGAGACAAATGATAAATTTTTAAATCTTCTTAAGTATTTATTCTCATTCCATGTGGATTGTCTCTTTATTTGAAAGTGCCTGAGGTTACACACCTTTCAACAGAATTTTAAGGACTATAATGAAAAATGGAGTGGCTTTATTTTTTTATTTAAATCTGAGTTTTCGTAATGATACACTATTTTTTTGTACTAATGCAGGGAGTCAAAACATGAAAATAAGATTTTATTAAAGTGCTAAGGGGCTGTTCACTTATTACGTAACGCGAAAAAATGACTTTTTAGACCCCCCCCCCCCCCCCATCGTAACAAAATTTGTATGAAAAAAAAATTCGTTGTTTGAACCGTAACAAAATCTTAGACCCCCCTCCCCCCTAAAAGCGTTACGTAATAAGTGAATGGCCCCTAAATAAAAACTAATAAATGCCAATCAAGCTAAGAACGTATTTCATTTAAAAAAATATCATTTAAATTTTATCGCATACTTAGTAGAATTTAAATACCTTTTAATCTACTCAAAATTTATTATTATAAAATTTTGTAGCAATATAATCGGATTACGGGTGGAAATATAATTTATTTGATGAGCCTTGAATAATGTTGCTTAAAACATAAGACAAAGTATAAGAGGAAGAAGAAAAAACTGTGAAATTGCATAACGAGAAACACATTTCTTATTATTGTGTTAAATGTTTCATTTTATGGGCATCTAACTGTAATTATTAAACGACTTCTTTTTATTCCCTTTTCTTTATCTCTTTCATTTCACTTTTTAATCATTTAATTCTCTTTTGATCCCTTTTGCTGTTGTAAACTGCATATAATTTATTGTGATACCATGCTTGCGCTTTGTTTGTTGGTTTTTCCATTAAAGCGCATCAGTGCCTAAAAAATTAATTTCAGTATTCATTTGACGATGTGTGTTCTGTTCTCTTTTAAGATCTTATTAATATGATAAGATCCTTAGAAGCACAGTGAAATGAAAAATTAGCTGGATAACCATAGGTTTTAGTAATACTTTTTGGGTTTAGATAATCATCATTAAAATTATGATCGCGTGCTACATTAATGTTAAATTCTAATGAATATCAAAAAGAGTCAATAAATTTTATGTAGTTTCCGAAATACGAGCATCATCAAATTGTGAAATGAAAAATTATATCAAAATGTGCAGCAAAATTAATCCCCTTTTCATCCACTTATGTGTTTCATTCATTTCATTCTTCTTTTAAAATAACATTATTGAATATTATTCTCTCGTCTTTTGTATTGTTCACAATCCTCATGACTCAATCAATTCATTCACTCACTGCTGCCTAACATCTCATTTCAATTTTATATAATTCAAAAGGAAAAATGAGCAGATTAGGAAAAAATCTGATTTTTGAATAGACAGAATAACAACAAAAAAAGGGAACATGTGTTGACTAAACTGTGTACGATTGTACATGCAATTTAATCATGATTAAAAAATGTTTTTCCCTGATTTCTTCAATCGGCACCCGCAATGATGAAAATTAATCACTTGAGAATGAATTAAATGAAACCTTTTCAATCTGAGCTTCTTGAATTTATTCGAAAATTAAATTTTTTTTTCATTTATTTCTTTGTGTCGTTTACATTAACATCATTTGATTTTTAACAATTGATAAGACAGTTTTTGCTGAGACTAATCGTGTTCGCAAACAAATAATTATGAATTTAATCAAGACATTTTTACTAATTGATCAATAATTTTTGTTTTCTATCTACTCGATTAGTCTAATTAAGATCATCATTATTTTACATTAACCTTTATTGTCACTATCAAATAAATTTTAAAATGACATAGATACTCTGAATTAAATTTATTAAAAATAAAAGTGTTAAAATCAAAACGTATAACAACACACAATTTCCGACAGTGACCGGAAATTTTTCTTTTATCGTCCACTTCCTGTGGTTTCACCCTCTAAATCGTTTACGTAAACATGATGTATTTTTTTTATTGAAAGCGGAAATATTAAATGTGAAAATCCACACTTCATAGTTTAATTAAGAATGGGGAAAGAGGAAAACTCAATTGTTAATTGTAACGAAATCAGAATCATTAATAGGAAGGCATTTACATGACAAATTTTTTGGTTTTTAAAGATTTTACAAAACCAATTTTTCCTAAAGCCATTAATCAATCATATGAGCATCTAAATCATAAAGTGTTGTGACTCAACGCACTTAATAATCCTTTAGTATATCTCATGTGAATTAAAAGCCACAATAATTTAATTCCACATGAAAACATTTTAATCATCTTTATAATTACTCTTAGAGAATTTTTTTCAAAAACCATTGAATATTATGTTCATGTAGGAAACAAGAAACTTTATTATAAAAGGGATGTAATATTTCTCTCATAAATAATTTTTTTTATCCTGCAATAATAACAATCAGAAAACCTTGAAGTGCAAACTGAGTAAAATAAATTCGTAAATCGATTGAGATTTAAGGCACTATAAAATATAAATATTAGCACTCACAAGGCTATTTTTTACGATTGAGTAACTTTAAGAGAAGGGTTCAATAAGAGGTTTAATTTTCACACCATCAATTTAAATTATATCAATTGAATTTTCTTTCATTTGGAAAATTTCACTTTAAAATTTAAACAATCTAAAATTTTATTTCCAGGCTAGGATTTATATCGCAATGGGGTGCGATTGCAAATCGATATGCAGCAGCACTTTATCCAACTGGATTCCCATGGTCATCCGCTACAGCACAAAGAATGCCTTTTCATAGTCCTTCAAATGGTAAGATTTACAATACAGTTCATTTATTTCAATCATGAGCTTATTGAGGAATACAAAATGACATGTCTCAATAAAAAAATGTTTTACTGTCTTACATAAATCCTATTATCACACAAAACCCTACATGTAAAGTATTAATTATGAACAATATGTACTCAAGAATATTGAATTACATTAGAATAAACACTCAACTTAAGCTGACTTTGTCTATTGCAATTTTAAATGTGCATGTAAAGTGCATCAGAAATCAAATAAAGAAAAAGAATTAGTAATATTAAGCAATAATTAGATTACTTCCCCATCGCTAAGAATCTTGAAAGGTTTCGTGCAATTTTGTGTCTAGAATTAGAATTGCTTACATGAAAAACGATTAAAAAAATAGGTATATAATATGAAATTGTAGAAACTTGATATTGTCATGTCAAAGCACTTAAAAACTGCACACAATATTTTCTTGTACTCATGAAAATTGATTTTTTTTTTCGTTCTACTTTTTGAACCTTCAGAGAATTTAACAAATCATACAGAAAATACTTCTCCATCGCTAACACCACCTCCTTCAGCGTCGTCAAAATCTCCACAACCACATCCTGCGTTTATGCAAAAAGAGAGTATCGAGTCAGATGATGAGCATGAAATAATTGAGGAAGATGATGAAGACAGTACCGAGGGTCGAACAAATGATAATGCTTCACCGAATTCTTTACAGAATAAGCGTAAGAAAAAAACACGAACAGTATTTTCACGAGCTCAAGTTTTTCAATTGGAATCAACGTTTGATTTGAAAAGGTAAGATGACAGCTTGAAGTGAAACGATAAAAAATATTTTTTAACCCTTATGTTATTTATACTTTTTTCTTTAGATACCTCAGTTCTTCTGAAAGAGCCGGCTTAGCAGCATCACTACGGCTGACAGAGACTCAAGTAAAAATATGGTAAGGATTCATATAAAAATGCATTAAGATTTGTATTATTAATATTTTGTGTGGATAATCTTAGGTTTCAAAATAGAAGAAATAAATGGAAAAGGCAGCTAGCAGCAGAATTGGAAGCAGCGTAAGTAATTTATGAAATTTTTTCAAGAAAATCTCCTAATTTTGAATTTATTTTTTTCTCATAAATAGAAATATGGCAAATATGGCACATGCAGCACAACGACTAGTACGTGTTCCAGTACTCTATCATGAAGGTCAAAACTTTGTTTCACCTCAGCCGCATTATATTAATTATTCAAGGAGCAGCAGCCCACCGAGACCTCAAATGCCGTCGCTTGTTTAGGAAAAACCGAAATAATTGTCATCAACAAATTAATTTATCCCACAAGCCGTACTTGATCACTTTCGGACGATAAAAATGCTTTAAAATGTATTTTTAACACTCCTTATGTATGCACGAGCAAATAAGCGAGACAACAGCAATTTACATTTTCTATTACAATTGCTCTAGAATTAAGCATTTTAAAAATATTAAATTCGTGCTCTGCGTGTGTCAATTCTCGGGACAACAATATATTAAAGTGCAAAAACGTTATTTAGTAAACGTTTGACTAATTAAATGGCTTCTAATTATCATTTCTATGAAAATATGTTTGAAGACTATAGTGAAGAAATAAAATTTAAGGCTTAAAAAGGAAAAACAAAATTATCCGACAGATGTGAAAACATCTATATAAGTCAGAATTGTAAAAAAAATTCTATTCATATCACATCTGACCATTTAATGAAATGATGAATTAATTAATTATGCGCTCTTTTTATACATACATATTTCTCTTTCTGTCTTATACAGTTCAAATTACAATTCTATCATCTTTAGTTAATGATATGCGATGAATTTTTTTAAAAAATAAGTTATTTTATTGTAAATATATGTAGAAAATAGAAACAAATGTAAAAAATAAACGTTAAGGTTCTTAGTACAATGAATGACGAAAAACAAGTTAGGCTTAATTGCTTTTGTAAATTTTATAGAAATTGTAGAATTTTGTGGTTTCACAGTGTTTAATTGAAAGTTTATTTACAGAATTTTGTCACCAAAAACAGATTTAACATTATTGAAATAAGAATTTGGACATTAAGTTGCACAATTGAGTATTGATACATATAGCTTAAAACTCGATGTTGTAACTTGGCGCATTTAAAGATCATTTTACTTGTAAATTAATATTTTGTAAATTGCGTAATTATCGCTGATATTCTTTAAAAGCTAAAGAATAATCTATCTAATTAATATGAGTTAAACCTTATCTTCCATAATTAAATAAACGTAATTTTCAAAACAAAAGGTGACATAAAATGTAAATAAATTTACAACTAAAATATATAGAAAATTGAGATAAGAAATGACTATGTAAATAATTTAAAGCTATTTAGTAATTATGTAAAATAAAAGTAAGGCCATAATTCCATAATTTTAAAAATTTCTTTTTTATTAAACGATTCATTATTTGTCAACTTAATACTTCAGGAATATAAAGATGTTAGCAAAGAATAAACGATTTATTAAAAATAGGATATTGATTCGCTATTTTGATGTTTGTGTGAATAAATTGGTCGCATTTTTATTTTTCAAAAATAAAATCTTTTCTTTATTATATTGCCTTGTTATTTATGTACATTATGATTTTATGAAATAAAAAAATGCAAAATATATTTACTACATGCCAAAATTAATTCTGTTTATTAATAAGAGGATATCCTGCATGGTTATGTTAGTCCATTCCACCCATTTTTATTGAATACTAGGTTAAGACTACCTAATGCGTTTACTATAATTTATAGTTTTTCTTTTCAGTTAAATTTGCTCGAGGCATTTTGTCACCATATACTTTAAAATTTCATCAATGAAATCAAATGTGCTGCTAAAGAGGATAACTTGTTGTTTGAATTAAATCTATGAAATTTAAAAAACACATTTTAAAATGGTTTTTTCTCTCTTGAATTCTTTTCAAATTAATCTAATTTCCGAGCATGTAATTGAATGTAATGAATAAAAGAACTGTGATTTGAGTTTCAAATAGCAAAAAAAAAAAGAAATTTGAGAAATTTATTTATGTTTTCAAATTTACAAGCATAAAAGTTTTTTTATTCATAAAAAAACATACAAAAACAGCTAATTTATGGACATGATGAAAAAGTCTCAGTTGAATGAGAAAAATGTCGACATCATAGAAATTTTTGATTAAAAATCTTTTGATCTTCTTTATGCCTCAAAGAGATGAACATTGCATTTTTTTTCTCATAATGAAGCAACTTTACATTCATCATTATCAATGAACATAAAACATGGACATCATTTTAAATTAAGTATGAGCAGAACAAATGATGAAACAAAATCATAGCGTAGAAGAGTCCTTATTAATATAAAATGTTATTAAGTGACACTCTTATCCTATTTCAATTAATGGTTGAGTTTCAACAAATGAAATAGTCTGTCACAAGAGATAAACTTAAATTTTGTTTCATGCCTACCTTTCCTGAAATGAAAACTGACACTTTAAGTTTATTACATATAACATAATGATGACACCTTTCTTCGTAATACCTTAATTTCTATAGTGCTAAAAACATAATTCTTGTAATATAAATAAACTTAGAAAGGAAGAGGAAAGATGGTATCGATTGTTTGCTATAAACATGATTTCTTAATGTGATGACAAAGAATTAAGGATCACATAAATCGTAGTGAAACTTGATGCAATCTTTAATTTTCGTTTATAAAATCTCTTTTCTGTCTTCTTCAGTGCTGCACAGCCCTTGTTACTTTTTAATGATATGAATGAAAGAACAGCTTAAGAGATTCATGAATTGAGCACTTCTGACAATTTCCTCTTGAAAGAGAGTCTTATTTTTTCATTGCGTGATTCTTGTCATTTTTAAAAAATTACAAATGAAACATTATGTCGCATAAAGCATTTTTGAACATTAGAAAATTATTATTTACATTTTATTGCTGACGAGATATGAATGAATAAATAAAATTATGGCAAAAAAAATTATAAATTAATTTAACGTAAATGACATGTTTTTCTAGTTTTTATATTTTATTCTTCTTCAACTTTTGTGTGTTTGGGGGAAGTAACGAGCCTTTTAACAGCAATCAAGTAATTAAATGCGATCGTATAGATGAGAAGACACAAGGGATGGAAATTTCGGTAAAAAATGATATCACTGAGCAGCCCTTTCTCAAAACAAACATTAATGATCATAACATAAATTTCAAAAACATCCTAAACCACTTAGCTTCAAAAGTTCAACCCCTAAGTTTATTAAAAAATTATCACGTTTTCTGGAATGTGTTGTTGTCTAGGAAAAAGAATCTAAAAAAATGCCATATGTTCGAAATTTCTAAAGGTATGTGACGTGTTTATTGCACCAGTTTCTCGACCCTCGATTTAAATGACATTTAGTCATAAAAATACAATTCACCACAATCGACCACAGAATGAAATTAATAAAAAAAAAAAATATGTAGTTAAAATAATGGCATTAGGAATGGCTTTTACAAGATTAATTCATTAGGAGATGTGAGTTTTTTATCATAACATATGGGCATACATCAATAGAGCAATCTTCATTCATTTAAGTTAAATGTGCAATATCTTTGTTAATGATAACAATAAATCATTTTCTACATCAAATTGACCGAAGGCTTAAAATCTAGTATCAAGGTGATTGTTGATGTTAAATTTAAATTAAGGCGCATTTTCTAATGCTAAATTAGAAATTGGTAAAATTATATATATCTATAAGGTGCAGACAAATTGTCAAACTACTAGTTTTTTTCTGTCATGAAAAGTAGAATTGTGAGAATCCCTGGGACAGAGTTTTGTTTTTGATTTCAAATTTATTTCAATAAATACTCCACTCTATTCAGTCCATTGTTAGCTCCTTTCATGAAATGTGATAGCATTGCGAAATTTGATACATATTTAATAGTAAAGGTACAGATAGATGAAAATTTAGGAATCTGTATGAAGATAATTGATGATGCATTAACACTAATTAAATGTCGATATTACATTCATTCTTATATTATAGACTGCTACTACCCTAGGCTTTGCGAAAAAATTACTGATTTCTAAAGCAGATTTACAACAGAGAATGAAAGTAATGTGTTTGAATATGAGCAGTCATGGAAAGAGAAATATGATTATGAGTGATGAGTATTTTTATGAAATTTTTATGTTTCTTTCATCTTGATGGTCTATGCAATTTTGTTGCCTACATACATAATAATTTTCTTCTAAAAGGATAAAAAGTATGGTATGAAAAATTGAAATTTATTTTCTTTCCTCTACGTCTAGCAAATAATAAGGCTGACCATTGAATATCTAAAAGAAAAAAACGTGGACTTTGTCAAATTTAAAATTTTATAAAGTTAAAACATTTAATAATTACATGAGTTATTGAATTTTCACAATAAGTACGACATTCGGTGTCTAGAGAAATACGCTCATCATTTATACTGTCCTGTCAAAAAAATATCAAGTTAACATCCTACACATGTACGAAAAATAGACTGTGTTGAGTGCACTAAAATGATAAGTTACTTTTATGACGAGAAGTAAAATAAAAATAAAAGTTCTGTCATTTGACCTATGCAATGTCCTCAACTACACATGCAAAAGGATAAATAAACAAAAAATTTATTCATTACACGTCAAAAAGATTACCACACTAACATGCTTCATAGTTCAGTTTACATAAACATTTATTTTCATTCATATCATAAATTTCTATGAAAATAAAATCTCCCCATTTTTACGTATTTTATAAAGCACATAAGAAAGATGTACACAGACGTAAAAATTTATTATCTTTTACTGACTTTTTAAGCATCATAACGTTGGATTTCATAACTGAGGCTTTTAACAGCATTACAATTTTTATACTTCAAATCCATTGAGGCGATATCAAAAAAAAAAAAACAGTGAAATATGTACTTTTTCATCCTGATTTCTCCTGACTCTGTATATCCAGAGTATATATTAGAATGCAGAGAACTAACATAGAGTAAGATTAAAAAGGAATTTTTGCAGGTGCATTTAAAAAATTAATTTATCTGTTTGTATTTCTGTTTTTATGATATTTTTCTTCCTTTTAATACTCTTTCTGAAATCCTATAAGCGCTTCATAATTCTTTAGTGAAAATTGCTCTTATGTAGAAAGGGCATTTCCTAATTGTATTTTAAAGATACAAAATTTTTGGTGCTATATTTGCTTTTTCAAAATTTTAAGATTCCAACATTTTAAAGCATCTTAATTTACGCTGAATTCAATAATCACCATAAATAAAATATACTTATAGTGGACGAAAGCAATAAAGAGAGAACATTAAAAATAAAAGAGACAACATTAATAATTAACCTTATTAATTTAAGTGGTGAATCAGCTATAGTAAAAATTAAAATGGACATTAACGAATGCGTGAAACAATGTGCATGAAAATATAAGCGGACACTCAAAATTAACATCTATTTTATACCACAATTCCCTCCTGCTCTTTTTGTACATCTTTGAAATGACTCGATTTTAGTAGAAAGTATTCAGTTTGACAAATTGCTGAAAAGCACGAAACTTAAATAAAAATTCCATTTGAGTTAAAGAAGGATTGGCTTTTTCTGATGGATTTATTAGACAACTATAAGTTTTACTTTAGATTAGTTTCCATGGAAAAATGTAAATTTATCTTGTATAATTTTTTGATTTCTTGTTGGAACTTAGAACTCAAATTATCAAAATATTTTGTGTAGAAATCCATGGGAATGAAAATACATTTAACCCAAATACAAAACAGAATGATTCTATTGAGTGTGCGTGCTGTTGATGGCTTTTCAAAAATGAAGTATCATCATAAATAAACAGTCAAAACACATAAGCACCAACCTTATGCTCTTTCTCATTGGCAACATATTTATAATTAAATTACATGTTTGAAGAGATTCTCATTGCCATGGTCACGTGTTAGACATTTTACGCTCACTTATCCTTGTATTATTAATATGTTTACAAAACAAGTAGTGACTTC